GTCTTTCTCCTGTGTTGTGCTGGTCCTCTCCTGTCTTTTTCCTAGTGTTGTGCTGGTCCTCTCCTGTCGTTTTCCTAGAGTTGTGCTGGTCCTCTCCTGTCTTTCTCTCAGTGTTGTGCTGGTCCTCTCCTGTCTTTCTCCTAGTGTTGTGCCGGTCCTCTCCTGTCTTTCTCTCAGTGTTGTGCCAGTCCTCTCCTGTCTTTCTCTCAGTGTTGTGCCGGTCCTCTCCTGTCTGTCTCCTAGTGTTGTGCTGGTCCTCTCCTGTCTTTTTCCTAGTGTTGTGCCGGTCCTCTCCTGTCTTTCTCCTAGTGTTGTGCTGGTCCTCTCCTGTCTTTCTCCTAGTGTTGTGCTGGTCCTCTCCTGTCTTTCTCCTAGTGTTGTGCCGGTCCTCTACTGTCTTTCTCCTAGTGTTGTGCCGGTCCTCTACTGTCTTTCTCTCAGTGTTGTGCCGGTCCTCTACTGTCTTTCTCCTAGTGTTGTGCCGGTCCTCTCCTGTCTTTCTCCTAGTGTTGTGCTGGTCCTCTCCTGTCTTTCTCCTAGTGTTGTGCCAGTCCTCTCCTGTCTTTCTCCTAGTGTTGTGCCGGTCCTCTACTGTCTTTCTCCTAGTGTTGTGCTGGTCCTCTCCTGTCTTTCTCTCAGTGTTGTGCCGGTCCTCTACTGTCTTTCTCTCAGTGTTGTGCCGGTCCTCTCCTGTCTTTCTCCTAGTGTTGTGCCGGTCCTCTCCTGTCTTTCTCCTAGTGTTGTGCCGGTCCTCTCCTGTCTTTCTCTCAGTGTTGTGCTGGTCCTCTCCTGTCTTTCTCCTAGTGTTGTGCCGGTCCTCTCCTGTCTTTCCCCTAGTGTTGTGCTGGTCCTCTACTGTCTTTCTCCTAGTGTTGTGCCGGTCCTCTCCTGTCTTTCTCCTAGTGTTGTGCCGGTCCTCTCCTGTCTTTCTCCTAGTGTTGTGCCGGTCCTCTCCTGTCTTTCTCCTAGTGTTGTGCCAGTCCTCTCCTGTCTTTCTCTCAGTGTTGTGCCGGTCCTCTCCTGTCTTTCTCCTAGTGTTGTGCTGGTCCTCTCCTGTCTTTCTCCTAGTGTTGTGCTGGTCCTCTCCTGTCTTTCTCCTAGTGTTGTGCTGGTCCTCTCCTGTCTTTCTCCTAGTGTTGTGCTGGTCTTCTCCTGTCTTTCTCCTAGTGTTATTCTGGTCCTCTCCTGTCTTTCTCCTAGTGTTGTGCTGGTCCTCTCCTGTCTTTTTCCTAGTGTTGTGTTGGTCCTCTCCTGTCTTTCTCCTAGTGTTGTGCTGGTCCTCTTCTGTCTTTCCCCTAGTGTTGTGCTGGTCCTCTCCTGTCTTTCTCCTAGTGTTGTGCCGGTCCTCTCCTGTCTTTCCCCTAGTGTTGTGCCGGTCCTCTACTGTCTTTCTCTCAGTGTTGTGCCGGTCCTCTCCTGTCTTTCTCCTAGTGTTGTGCCGGTCCTCTCCTGTCTTTCCCCTAGTGTTGTGCTGGTCCTCTCCTGTCTTTTTCCTAGTGTCATCCTGGTCCTCTCCTGTCTTTCTCCTAGTGTTGTGCTGGTCCTCTCCTGTCTTTTTCCTAGTGTTGTGCTGGTCCTCTCCTGTCTTTCCCCTAGTGTTGTGCTGGTCCTCTCCTGTCTTTCTCCTTAGTGTTGTGTTGGTCCTCTCCTGTCTTTCCCATAGTGTTGTGCCGGTCCTCTACTGTCTTTCTCTCAGTGTTGTGCCGGTCCTCTCCTGTCTTTCTCCTAGTGTTGTGCTGGTCCTCTCCTGTCTTTCTCCTAGTATTGTGCCGGTCCTCTCCTGTCTTTCTCCTAGTGTTGTGCCGGTCCTCTACTGTCTTTTTCTCAGTGTTGTGCCGCTCCTCTCCTGTCTTTCCCCTAGTGTTGTGCTGGTCCTCTCCTGTCTTTTTCCTAGTGTTGTGTTGGTCCTCTCCTGTCTTTCTCCTAGTGTTGTGCCGGTCCTCTCCTGTCTTTCTCCTAGTGTTGTGCCGGTCCTCTCCTGTCTTTCTCCTAGTGTTGTGCCGGTCCTCTCCTGTCTTTCTCCTAGTGTTGTGCCGGTCCTCTCCTGTCTTTCTCTCAGTGTTGTGCCGGTCCTCTCCTGTCTTTCTCCTAGTGTTGTGCTGGTCCTCTCCTGTCTTTCTCCTAGTGTTGTGCCGGTCCTCTCCTGTCTTTCTCTCAGTGTTGTGCTGGTCCTCTCCTGTCTTTCTCCTAGTGTTGTGCCGGTCCTCTCCTGTCTTTCTCCTAGTGTTGTGCCGGTCCTCTCCTGTCTTTCTCCTTAGTGTTGTGCTGGTCCTCTCCTGTCTTTCTCCTTAGTGTTATTCTGGTCCTCTCCTGTCTTTCTCCTAGTGTTGTGTTGGTCCTCTCCTGTCTTTCCCCTAGTGTTGTGCCGGTCCTCTCCTGTCTTTCTCTCAGTGTTGTGCCGGTCCTCTACTGTCTTTCTCTCAGTGTTGTGCCGGTCCTCTCCTGTCTTTCTCCTAGTGTTGTGCTGGTCCTCTCCTGTCTTTCTCCTAGTGTTGTGCCGGTCCTCTCCTGTCTTTCTCCTAGTGTTATTCTGGTCCTCTCCTGTCTTTCTCCTAGTGTTGTGCTGGTCCTCTCCTGTCTTTTTCCTAGTGTTGTGCTGGTCCTCTCCTGTCTTTCCCCTAGTGTTGTGTTGGTCCTCTCCTGTCTTTCCCCTAGTGTTGTGCTGGTCCTCTCCTGTCTTTCTCTCAGTGTTGTGCCGGTCCTCTCCTGTCTTTCTCCTAGTGTTGTGCCGGTCCTCTCCTGTCTTTCTCCTAGTGTTGTGCCGGTCCTCTCCTGTCTTTCTCCTAGTGTTGTGCTGGTCCTCTCCTGTCTTTTTCCTAGTGTTGTGCTGGTCCTCTCCTGTCTTTTTCCTAGTGTTGTGCTGGTCCTCTCCTGTCTTTCTCCTAGTGTTGTGCCGGTCCTCTCCTGTCTTTCTCCTAGTGTTATTCTGGTCCTCTCCTGTCTTTCTCCTAGTGTTGTGCTGGTCCTCTCCTGTCTTTTTCCTAGTGTTGTGCTGGTCCTCTCCTGTCTTTCTCCTAGTGTTGTGCTGGTCCTCTCCTGTCTTTTTCCTAGTGTTGTGTTGGTCCTCTCCTGTCTTTCTCCTAGTGTTGTGCTGGTCCTCTCCAGTTTTTCTCCTAGTGTTATGCTGGTCTTCTCCTGTCTTTCTCCTAGTGTTGTGCCGGTCCTCTCCTGTCTTTCTCTCAGTGTTGTGCCGGTCCTCTCCTGGCTTTCTCCTAGTGTCATCCTGGTCTTCTCCTGTCTTTCTCCTAGTGTTGTGCCGGTCCTCTCCTGTCTTTCTCTCAGTGTTGTGCCGGTCCTCTCCTGTTTTTCTCCTAGTTTGCATGTTCTTCCCATGTCTGCATAGGTTTCCTCTGGGTGCTCCGGTTTCCCCTACCACTAAAAACATACACAATAGGTCTGAATGTAGATAAGAGAGTGAATGGATGGTGGTGATTGGAGCTGATGGTCCAGTGTGTTCAGCTTCTGTCATCACCGTGTGTGGACTGATTGGAACAATACCTGAATATCTCGCACACACACCAGACTCATTCTAGGCAATGTGGGTGAAGTGTCTTGCCTAAGGAAACAATGGCAGTTTGGCACTTTACAGCCGCACCACGACCTTCCGGCTCAAAGGCCAATGCTGTGCTGTCACCCGATCCTGGTTCTCTGCCTCAACATGGAGTAGTGGGTTTTGTTTTCTGGCCAAGGCCTGGGTCACAGGGTCCTGTTTCCTTGTCAGTGCAGGGGAAGGGGGCTAACCCTAACTTTGGTTTTGTGAAGGAAGCTGCTTAACCCTTGTATTATGTTAAGGGTCAATTTGACCCATTTCAGTTTTTGAGTTGATCAAAGTACTGGTTATCCTTTCTTTTTCTTGCTGAAATTTGGTGACTTTTCCTCATCTAGGGCAACTGATCATCTACTCTCAGTTGCCAAAAGCCGCCTTGGAACTAGATATCTCCAGTTACTCTGTCGATGTGCGCTAGGCTTTAGACAACTCACCAAAAATGAGCTCCAGAAGGATGACATCTGAGGAGGCTTTTTCACAGATTTTTAACTGGGATAGTGATGTAGAGGAGAGATTTCAGAAACAGAGGATTTTTCAGAGACAGAAGACAATGTTATTGCTGATCCAGATTATCAATTTTCCTACAATAAGGAGGATTCAGAGGACGAATCTTTGGTCAAGGAAAGAGGAAGGGAGGAAGGAAGGAAGGTAAGAAGGGAGACAGGAAGGAAGGAAGGAAGAGAAAAGAAGGGAATAGATGAGGATGAACAGAGAGAAGGAAAACAGGATGAGAAAAGGGAAGGAGAAAGCATGGCAGGAGGAAAGAATTGTCATTTTGACCCGAGAGGAGAAGAAGATTAGACTAAATATTTCTTAAATATAGCGTTGGAATTCAAAATGCATTGTATGTCACTTTTCTAAATATTTATATAACCTAAAATAAAATTGTTATTGGTTTATTCTGTTTTCTTGACTGTTTTGAGTGCATTTACACAGTACGGGTCAAAATGACCCGCAACATAATCAATGTCATTTTTTTTCAACATAATACAAGGGTTAAATATATTCTGTGAAACGGGTAATTTTTATCTTGGTAAAAAACAACTCTGGGTCTGATATTGAGGAGGAACAGTAACATGCAGAATCCTTCATTGCGAGGCCTTAACCTTACTATCTGTCCTTTCAGTTCATTACTTAGAATTTGTCCGTGTCTGATGGCAGTGTTAATGGCTGGTTAGGGATGTATTTGCTGCTGTGATCTACAACATTAAATTGATTTTATGACGTGACAAAAACCTTTATGAGTCGATCACGATGCTTGTATCAAAACCTGTACAGCACAATATGAAGACAATACATTTTCTGTTATTCATTGTCTCCAAAGTTATTGAAACCAAATGTCGTACAAATGCCTCTTGAGGGGCGGTGGGGGTGGGGATGAGGGAGGGGGATTTCTGGGCATATTGTCAGGGCTTAAGTTTAGCTCGTGGATGATGACTGCGCAGATGACAGCATGATGAAGCGTGCGGCGGGGAAATGGGACGAGGGTCCACAGAAAGCAATCAGCAAACGTCCATTCTGTTCTGAAAATGCCACGAGCCGAGCTGCTGTACGGCACACACTGAACAAGGCTGTAACAGAATGTCGCATTGATATTCAGAAGAGAAAATCCTCTCATTTTGAGTTTTTACCAAGTTACAACATAAACAGAGCTGGGGTTAATGTTGGAGGCTCTACACACACTGCAACAATTCTCCATATATTGAACCGTTCAATACTTCCTCTTTGATTTAACTTGATGTTTGTGGCCCCCTCGTATGGAGCTATAATAATGTCTGGATAGGGCATTACGAGGTTATAGCTGTCTCACCCATGGGCACAGGGGGCACCCGTGGTACTGCAGACTAAATTCACGCGGGCTACCCAGAAAAATATTCCATAGAACTCAATGTACAACTAAAACAGCTCAATCTCAGCTGACAGAGAACCTGACAGAGAACCTGACAGAGAACCTACAGCTTTCATTTTGTGGGGTCAGAACGCAGTCGTGCCCCTTTGTGCTTGTGTATGGGAGCTACACACGCGTATTTGGCGCAAAGCATCATGGGAGCTCGTACACTGCACAGAACCACTACTGGGCACAAACCATTGATTTAGATCCCCGGGGCACCCCACCCGTGGAGTTGGCCTGCAGGGGGGAGGAAGCTGTGCAAAAATACTGTTGTGTATGTAGCACTCAAGCCTCTGGTCTCTAAGATGTTTCATGGAATCCACCAACTTCCAGCCAGGGATGATTTATGTTTTAATGGAGAACATTCAAACATTTCTGTGTGTAAAGTAATTCACTGATATTTCATTGATAAAGTGGACTTTTTATAATCTTCCACAATATTTAGTCTGGGAACCATGTGTTTATGATCTAGTAACATAAGTGTAGTTTACGATTGTTCAGAGCCGTTTATTGGGCTGAATGTCTCCAAGACTGTCATGTGGTGAATTGAACGAGGACCCAAAAAGCAGGAATGCCAAAAAAAAAAAGAAAAGGGTTTAATGATAATAAAATAAAAGTCCAGGTGAAGAGAACTCAAAATCCAAAGGCCCAAGGAACACAGAACACAGAACCAGGAACAGGACGGAACAAAAAAGTACAAAATAACAAAATCCAGACCATGACAAAGACAAGGGTCTGTCAGTCATGTTGGGGACGGGGTTAAGTTATGGATGTATGATGTTATCTGGAGGGTGTTGCTGCTTAAACCTGTCTGCACATGGACAAGGGAACACCCACAGCACTGCAGCTTGAATGACCTGTAGGGGGCGCTGTGCTTTCGGAGATGGCAGCAAGTTCCCTGTCCACCCTTATGTCATGCCCGTGATGAGGTGCAATGTTTTCTCCCCTGGTCCTTCCGGCATCGACAACAAAAACTCAAAAAACCAGAGGGAGAAAATTAGATATCTCACCCCTGGTCCCCTGTTCTCCCTTCTAGTCCTGCTCCCCCCTGGTCCCCTGCTCTCTCCTGGTCCTCTGCTCTCCCCTTGTCCCCTGCTCTCCCCTGGTCCCCTGCTCACCCTTGGTCCTCTGCTCTTCCCTGGTCCCCTGCTCTCTCCTGGTCCCCTGCTCTCCCCTTGTCCCCTGCTCTCTCCTGGTCCGCTGCTCTCCCCTGGTCCCCTGCTCTCCCCTGGTCCCCTGCTTTCCCCTGGTCCCCTGCTCTCTCCTGGTCCCCTGCTCTCCCCTGGTCCCCTGCTCTCTCCTGGTCCCCTGCTCTCCCCTGGTCCCCTGCTCTCTCCTGGTTCCCTGCTCTCTCCTGATCCTTCTGCACCGTGAGGACGCGAACAGGTTCTGTCCTGTGTGTCTCCCGGTTCGGAAGTGGATTACAGGGAACCAAAAGTCGCACGACATAGTTCTTGTTTGGAAACAGCTTCGGTACAATGGCATCTGTGCTTTCTCTTATGGTCCATTTTCAAATAGTTATATGTTGACGTCCTCCATATAATCAGCCCTCCTGCTGCACAGACACTGCCCTGGTCCTGATCGACGCCTCAGATGTAACTTCCTTCAGGTTGCTTCTCTGCTGCTGCTGCTGCTGCACGTCCACATCGTTCCCCAGAGGAAGACGTTCCGCTCGCTCCGTCCACAGCTTTAATCAGGACGTGGAAGAGACGCTGTTTGGGAAAGTGCTGAAAGCAGGGACAGTTTTCATCACCTCTTCCTCCAGGCGCCTCTGACCAAGGACACTCTCCCACTCCCCTCACCCCCACACTCACCCTGTCTGGGCTGTCGGGTCCCTCTGTTCTTCTTTATGGAGGTATCTACTATTTCTATAAGTCAGAATGTGCTTCTGTTTGCTATAATTATAAATATATGTCTTCAGTGTTTTGTCTAATCTGAACACTGGGTATTTTTTGCGCAAATGTTCTGAATCCAAATGGCAGATAAACTGACTGAATATTTTAGAGATTATGAAAGACTTTCTCTCATTGTTCGTGGTTGTCTGAAGCCATTTATAACAAATACACTTGTTTTATATTATCAAATGATCATTGCCCCACTCTGGGGAGATTGCACCACCAGAGAGAGAGACCAGAGAGAGACCAGAGAGAGAGATCAGAGAGAGAGATCAGAGAGAGAGATCAGAGAGAGAAACCAGAGAGAGAAACCAGAGAGAGAAACCAGAGAGAAACCAGAGAGAGAAACCAGAGAGAGACCAGAGAGAGACTAGAGAAAGACCAGAGAGAGACCAGAAAGAGAGACTGGAGAGAGAGACCAGAGAGAGAAACCAGAGAGAGACCAGAGAGAGACCCGAGAGAGAGACCAGAAAGAGAGACTGGAGAGAGAGACCAGAGAGAGAAACCAGAGAGAAAGAGACCAGAGACAGACCAGAAAGAGAGACTGGAGAGAGACAGGAGAAAGAGACCAGAAAGAGACCAGAGAGAGACCAGAGAGAGAGACCATAGAGAGAGACCAGAGAGAACCATAGATAACTGAGGGATGGAGACATGCTCTTAAGATGAATAAACCATTTAATGTTTTATAATGTGCCATTAGGTCTGAAGAAAAACATGTGGATAAGTTCAATAAAGTAAGAGATCCGGCAATAATCCGCTCCCCACATGACGTCAGCCGCTGCTTTTGCCCCGCACGTCTCACAGTTCACTGCTTATTGCAATATTGTGGCGATGCACACAGTAAAATAGCTAATAATATTCTCTTTACGCTGATAATGAGAAAACATACACACTAAATCTAAGTAAGAAACAACAATATTAAACAGAGACACGCTTTGTTTTTGGATTTGATTTATTGAGTCGTTCTGTGTGAGTCCCACGGTGGCTCTGTCATGGTTGATGCTGTTGAGTACACAGGATCATGGGCGATGAAGTTTACAGTGGTTAGTTCTGTAGGAGTTACTGTTTCAGAGTCAGAGTCAGGACAAAGAGACTTATTGTTGAAGTCCTGTACAGTTTTGTTGATTATAATCTTTTTGCCTAAATACTCTGCACGGTGCTGTTGTATTTTCACCACTGTTTTTCTACTGAGAGAGCGCATTTCTCAAACCGAAAATATCCAGACTCAGACATGAGTTTGTGAAAAAGAGGAAGACAGAGCTCTGTCCATGGCCCAGGGGAGGTCCAAGGACAGGGATAATGTGGAACATTTAAGGACATTTATGAACATTTCTGGACCGTGGTTGTCCCGCTCCCTTTGGACCAAACCAGAACATTTTGCTTTTCCCATTGGAAAATCTCATATTAAGGCAGTCAAAATGTGTCAGTGGTAATGGTACGCAAATAAAGATACATGTTGCCAATTTCAAGAACTTTTTTGACTTGTTTTTCATCACTTTTTGCTGTAGGGCTGCACGATAAAATTGCACCTAAAATTGCAATCTCCTTTGAAACACAAGAGACAAATAACAAAAACGTTAATGACAATAAAATGCATATATTTATATACTTTTTTGTTTGTTCGTTGAATGTTGATGTGTCTGTCTTTCTTGTCATCTTTAATAAAGAAAAAATATTTATATACATATAGTATTTTTTGTTTTTTATCACGCATATGTCGCATGCACCAATATCGCGATAACAATATTTTTTTGCAGTGTATGAGTTTGTTATTATTGTATTGTGAGTTTGATTCTCTGACACGTTGTTGAGGAATTTACAACTTCATAAAGTGCGCCATGTGAACTGTGTTTGTGAATTAGGGCTATACAAAAATACATTGAATTTAATTGAATAGATGGGGCTAAAAACCACTCCAACTGTTTTTGACACGGAACAATGTAGGCACAAACTCAAAAACTAAATGGTGTCCTCCGCGACCCTGCAACGGATGAAGCGGAGGAAAACCGACGGATGGATGGATGGATGGATGGATGGTGTCCTTTAGCTGCTCCTTCCTGCTCTTGCTGTTGTTTTGGAGCGTCCTCTGATGACGCAGCGCTTCATGACTTTGCGAGCGCCTGCGGTGGATAAAGCCCTGGATCAGCTGACCTTGTGTCGGACCAATTCTGTTCTGGAAGTGCTTTGATATGGATCGTGCTGAGGAGAGCGCAGAAAAGCAGCACTTTGACAACTCCCCCGACCTTAAAATTGTAATTAACAGCACGCATAGACAAAGGGAACCTGGACTGAGGCTTAATTAAGACAAAGTTCAGCGAGTGCAGCCGGACACTTGTGCAGACACTGCGCTTGTGTGTGGAAATTACCTTGTCTCTTTTCATTTACAAACCTGAGAGAACCTCGTCAAGACAACTCTGAACGCTTGCTTCTTCTGTCCAGTGTGATTAACACGAGGACTCCCAGAATTCTGTAACTAGGTCAACTTTTGACGGCTCCTGTTCGACTCAATGGAGTCATGAACAATTCTCAAACACGTTTTCTACCTACATTTTTATATTGTGTTCCAGATAGAGATTTCATACTTGTTTCTTTGATGCTAGAGTTAGAGATTTAGTTTTATTTGAATTAGTATAGTTTTTGAGCAACAGTAGCTCGATTGGTCTGAGGGTCGTGGGTTCGAGCCCACCATGGGATCTACTCCAACCGCTCCCACTAATGTCTGTCGTCGATGTGTTGTTGGGCAAGACACTTAACCCCACGTTGCCTGAAGCTCCTTCTGAAACACCAAGACTGTGGGACCACTGACGGAGCAGCCATTTTCCTGTGGACTCATCACCTGCAGAGGATCAGAGGGACTGGTGCTATGAGCATTGGGTGGCAGCTCTGAATATAACCCCCCTGTCCCAGAAATGGACTAATAAAGGGTTGAAAATGAATGAATGAATGAATGAACTTTATACGACTAAAATAGTCTTTGATCAGAGAGGGACATATGAGCATTAGGTGGCAGCTCTGATTGTCACCCCCCTGGCCCAGAAATGGACTAATCAAGGGATATAAAATTAATACAACAACAACAACTAGTTCTTGTAAAGCCGTAAATCACGACAGAAGTCATCTCAGAGACTTAACAAAACCATTGAAATCACCAGCACAGTTCAGAGAATCAACAGTTAAAACACAAAATATACACATATGAATTGGTCCATAGGGAGAGACCAATGTTCATGAATGTTGGAATACGTTTTTGTTCACTTCTTGTGCTGTGGGCTCCTCATTCCTACTGTTCTGGAACGTGTGACGCAACACTGACATTTCTGTGTGACGAATAAAGGATCTCTTCATCTTAATCTTAATCTTACCTTTTTTTTGTTGCACTTTCATAATATGTTAAAACTGGTGAATGCATCTTTAAATACAGTAAAGACAGTTCAGCTCACCATCAGAACCAGTCTAGAACCAGTCTAGAACCAGTCCAAAAGTAGCACCTTGGAGACTGCCCAAGAATGTTGGTTGCCAAGTGATTGCCTAAGTGAGCGGCCATAGTAACTCCTCAGTAGTCATAGATATAAACTTCTCAGGGCATCAAACGGCTTCCAGAAAGGACCGGTGTAGCTGCAAGTTTTAGTTCCAACCTGTAGTAAGTGAGTCATCTTTATTTATATAGCGCATTTTTACAGACCAAGGTCCCCCAAAGCACTTTACAATGTTCAGAGTTCAGATATTGTTTCATTCACTCCACACACGGTGATGACGGAGCGAGACGCCGAACACACTGGTGCCTCCAACAAACACCATCCATTCCCTCACTCAGTACATTCAGACCTATCACCTGAAGAATTGGGTTCAGGTTTAAGGTTTCCCCACCGCTAAAAACATGAGTAGTACTGAATGTAATGCGAGTGAGTGGAGGGTGATCAGAGGCTTCAATGTACCAGTGCGTTCGTCATTGTCTGATGACTGAATGGAAAATGATGGGTACTCCAAAAAAACATTGTAAAACGCTTTGTGTGACCTTGGTCTGTGATACGCGCAATATAAATAAAGATGAGTTCCTTTCCTCCAGTGGTTTCAATGCTGAAGGAGGGATGTAAGGAAGCATACAAACTCCAAGCTCATCTCTGCACTTTTGGCTTCTATCATTGGGCCTATTCAGATCCAGCCTCTGTTCTGTCAGGACACAATTCAAGTCCATTTATTTGTGTACAGCCCTAAATCACAACAGCAGTCGTCTCGGAGGACTTTACAGAGATGGATCCGAGAATCAGGCAGTTCAAACACATATGAGGACTCTGGTCCATAGGGAGCGGGAAGACCACTGTGGATAAATGTCCTTAAATGTCCCTGATTATCACTGTCCTTAGACCCTCCTGCATTGGCAAGGAACGACAAAAAAATAGTGTGAAAACTAAAAGAAATCTTGGGAAAGGACCTGCTCCCACGTATGGACAGGCTGTAGATCCAGGACCGAGGCTGTAGATCCAGGACTGAGGCTGTAGATCCAGGAGTGAGGCTGCAGATCCAGGACTGAGGCTGTAGATCCAGGACCAAGGCTGTAGGTCCAGGGCTGAGGCTGTAGATCCAGGACCGAGACTGTAGATCCAGGACTGAGGCTGTGCGGTTCAGGGCGGTGCTCCCTTGCAAAAATGGGGGTGCAGCCCATGAACGCGCGATTTGGGCGGCACAGTAGCACCTTTCGCTTCTCAGCTTGAAGGAGTTTACATGTTCTCCCTTCGTAGCTTTCCTCTGGGTGCTCCAGTATCCCCTACCACTAAAAACGTGTCTTCCAGGTTTTGTAATCCAGTTCTTGGAGATTTGAGCCTGGATTTGTGGGTCAAATGCAGAGGACACATTCACCTACAGAGACAATCAAAGAATATTTCAACTTTACATGAAACAATCAAAAAGATTTGGCGATTAACAGAAATATTGTGAGAAGAGGGAGTTTAGTAGAGAGGATGAGTTTGCGGACCGTTGGTGGATCCCCCCAGAGCCTAGACCCTGATGCTGTTGGTGGATCCCCCAGAGCCTAGACCCTGGTGCTGTTGGTGGATCCCCCAGAGCCAAGACCCTGGTGCTGTTGGTGGATCCCCCAGAGCCTAGACCCTGGTGCTGTTGGTGGATCCCCCAGAGCCTAGACCCTGGTGCTGTTGGTGGATCCCCCAGAGCCAAGACCCTGGTGCTGTTGGTGGATCCCCCAGAGCTTAGACCCTGGTGCTGTTGGTGGATCCCCCAGAGCCTAGACCCTGGTGCTGTTGGTGGATCCCCCAGAGCCAAGACCCTGGTGCTGTTGGTGGATCCCCCAGAGCCTAGACCCTGGTGCTGTTGGTGACCCCAGAGCCTGACCCTGTGCTGTTGGTGGATCCCCCAGAGCCTAGACCCTGGTGCTGTTGGTGGATCCCCCAGAGCAGAGACCTGGTGCTGTTGGTGGATCCCCCAGAGCCTAGACCCTGGTGCTGTTGGTGGATCCCCCAGAGCCTAGACCCTGGTGCTGTTGGTGGATCCCCCAGAGCCAAGACCCTGGTGCTGTTGGTGGATCCCCCAGAGCCTAGACCCTGGTGCTGTTGGTGGATCCCCCAGAGCCAAGACCCTGGTGCTGTTGGTGGATCCCCCAGAGCTTAGACCCTGGTGCTGTTGGTGGATCCCCCAGAGCCTAGACCCTGGTGCTGTTGGTGGATCCCCCAGAGCCAAGACCCTGGTGCTGTTGGTGGATCCCCCAGAGCCTAGACCCTGGTGCTGTTGGTGGATCCTCCTGGGCTGGTGGTTGGTGCTCTGTGTAAATGCAGCTGTGAAGTGATGCTGATGAGGACAGGTGTGCGTCTGCAGCTGAGGCTGAGGTGATGAGGGTGAGGGTAAGCTGCATTAGTCCATTTTGGGTGCTGTTTCCATAACTATGTGTATTATTTGTGTACTAACTAAAAATCAAACATGATCTTTTTAGTTCCCACACCTGTTTTCCTTTTAGCTGTTATTTCCAAATGTTCTATTTGATTTGACCGCTATTCGATTAGATTCTGGGAAGACTCAGCCTTTGAGGATTGTTCAAGTTCAGTTCAGAGAGGACGACACAGACGGCTTTGAGAGGAGGACAGCTCTCCCCTCTTCTCTTGCCTCGTCTGGCAAGAGCTCTGGTGTGTTTCGTCTGGTGCACACTGGGGTAGTCTTGCACAGTTTTTCCTATGTGGTTTTACTGCAAATGGCAAATAAATGAATCTGAATCTTCTCTTCTCTTCTTTTGTTGCTGATTAGTCCAGATGACGATAAAAAAAACTCTACGTCTCTTTTAAATGAGAAGGTTTTGACTTCTTGTTGCTTGTGTCCTTCAAGAAGCAGACCACAGACCATTGACAGTTATTATTCGTCTCACATTACATGACGGACAGACACCACACAATAGCCGCTCTGCAGTTGGAGAACGGTCACTATGACAACAGGGACGTCGTGCAGAACAGTGACCCCACAGACAAAACAAATGTCTTGAGAAATAATTACTTTTTAGGAATGGCTAAATTCTTTCCAAATCCCACTGTGTGCCTCCGGCAGTAGTTAGACCTGTCACGACAACACTTTTTGATGGATGATATCACTTCAGAGATATTGCAACAAACAATCATATTGAATGGACTTTATCATGAAAAGGAGAATGATAAACCTCTGTTCCTCTCTCTCCCTGATCTCTCTCCTAGTCCCTGCTCTCTTTCTGGTCCCTCTCCCTCCTCTCTCTGTGGACCCTCTCCATGGTCTCTCTCCTTGGTCTTTCTCTCTGGTCTTTCTCACTGGTCGTTGTCTCTGGTCTTCCTCTCTGCCCCCTACCCCCCCTGCTCTCTCTCTGTGTCCCTCTCCCTCCTCTCTCTCCCTGGTCTCTCTCTGTGTCCCTCTCCCTGGTATCTCTCTAGTCTCACTCCCTCCTCTTTCCCTGGTCTCTCTGGTCCCTCTCTTTGATCTCTCTCCCTGGTCTCTCTCTGGTCTCTCTTCCTGGTCTCTTTCTGGTCTCTCGCTGGTCTCTATTTACAGAATTACAGAAATATTTTTGGAACGATATTCTCATTTTTTAGACATTTTCAGACTGTATTGAATTCTGCAAATCTCACTCCTGTCTCTCTCTGTTCCAGCGGCTCCGTGGTGAGGCCCTGTCGTGTGTGGATCCTCCTGGCCGTCACACATCTGACCTTTGATGTGTCCCTAAGCTCCGCCCCTGGGACGGAGCAGCTCAGACTGACCCCGCCCCCTGCGCCTAGGCCACGCCCCCGAGACTTGTCCAGTTTGCTGCACTGGAGAGCTGTCACCTTCAAGTGAGTGACATTCAATCTTTTAGAAATTACGTATAATTTTGCACTGGATTACAATTACAATTTGGACCAGAATTGTATAGCATTTACAAAAAACACAAAGATAACAAAATCCAGGAAATAATAGAAATCCAAACGCAAACCACAAAAACAGCGACTAAAAGACAAGTGAAACACATTAGGGGCAGAACACTGAAAAGAACCAATACATCAGAATAAAAACAGGAAAGAGTTATCAAAAAGTCCATACCAAGACGAAAGCTGCGTTTAGGAGCGATGTTTGTGTGTGTGTGTGTGTGTGTGTGTGTGTCTGTCTGTGTGTCTGTCTGTCTGTCTGTCTGTCTGTCTGTCTGTCTGTCTGTCTGTCTGTCTGTCTGTGTGTGTGTGTGTGTGTGTGTGTGTGCGCGATGATACCTACATATTCATATTAATCCTTAAAAATTCAATAATGTTGCAAGTTCCTTGGAATGTACCAGTTTCTTTTACTGTACCGGTTTCTGGTACTGTTGCTCCCCCTTCCAATGTCTCCCTGGTATCTCTCTAGTCCCTTTCTAGTCTCTCTCCCAGGTCTTTTCCTGGTCTCTCTCTCTTCCTGTCTTTCTCTGGTCTCTTCCTGTCTCTTTCTGGTCTCTTTTTTCCAGTCTCTCTCCGGTCTCTCTCTGGTCTGTCTCTGGTCTCTCTCTGGTCCCTCTCTCTCTTCTAGACTCTCTGTGGTTTCTCCTGCTGGCCGTGAGAAACCACAGAGACGGCTGTTCTCTTTTCATCAAAAGCAGGATGTGATTTCCCATAAGAAGCTTATTCCATTGTTGATATGTTTAATATTCTAGTTCTGAAACATGAAATGGCAAAGATCATTTTCTCAATATCAGAAAAGGACAAAATAAGACCTTTACGTGTATTCTGTACGTTGTCAGAGCGCACCCGGAGCGGCGCCGGCGGGACCCAGGCGAGCTGCTGCGCCTGCTCCTGCGGCCTCGACGGCAGCTCAATGGAGAAAGCTCCCCCCAAGACGGCCGCACCACCACCGTGTCCGGCTTCATCGACTGGGGCCCCACGGGCACCGACGAGGGCCCGGCGGGGGACGACAGGAACGTCACGCACTCCACCAGCAGCGGCCAGTCCACCCCCACTCTGCCTCCCCCCACCACGAGCCCCACATCCCCCCGACACCCGCACAGGACTGTGAGCACGGGCCCCCAGGAGCCCCAACTACACACCACCACCCGGGCCCCGGCCGGAGGAGACACGCCTAAGCCTGATAAGCCATACGGGGAAACTCCAGGTAAGAACCGCAGGCCACGATATTGGTACTAAAGCATTGTAACTGACAGAGATTGGGCAGAGTGCTGCTGTAAGCCATGATTACCAAGGAATTTCCCTGTGTAAGGGTTTGTTGTGGGTAGGTTGCTAGGATACGGTTACTGATACTAAAGGATAATGGATTGTGGAGCTATATCATCCCTGTGTGTGTGTGTATAGGTGTGTGTGGATACGCATGTGTGTGTTTGTATACGTGTGTGTGTGCATGTGTGCCACAGCCCTGAAGATAGTGGAGCTATATCATCCCTGTGTGTGTGTGTGTAGTGGGTGTGGATGTGCATGTGTGTGTGTGTGTACGTATATGTGTGTGCGTGATTGTGTATGTCTGCATGTGTGCCACAGCCCTGAAGATAGTGGAGCAACTGTATATCATCCCTGTGTGTGTGTGTGCATAGGTGTGTATGGATGTGCATGTGTGTGTGTGTGTTTGTATATGTGTGTGTCTGCATGTGTGCCACAGCCCTGAAGATAGTGGAGCTATATCATCCCTGTTCTTATCTGCACTTTACTCATCCCCAGATTATGAGAGCACTTTGTTTGGCCCCATTGAGCTCTATCCGCTCGGGACGAGTTTTACGCCGGGACCTCGGGGAAGTCGGCCTAATTAGGAACATGGTCTGTTTCCAGTCTCGTGTCGATGCGTATGTTGGTGATATCGTCTTTTGTGATGGTTTCATGATATGAACAGCGCATTTCTGTACAGTTTGGCACTTTACAGCAGTCCCCCCGCTGTAGCACCTGGTGATCGTAGACTTGAATATCAGCCCCTGTTTAGACGGAGACGCTGCAGAGACGCTGTAAAGCAGGGGTGTCAAACTTATTTTGGTTGGTGGTTGGTGGGGCGTGTAGCGTGTGGCGGTTGTTGGTGTGCGTGTAGTGTGTGGTGGTTGGTGGGGCGTGTAGTGTGTGGCGTGTGATGCGGTGTGTGGGCACTGTCTCGTGTGAACCCGTAAATGTCACGTGTGAACTCGGACGTGCATGTTTGATTCTCTGATCTGTGTTGGCGGTTTCAACGGTTTTGTAAAGTCCTCTGAGATAACTACTGCTGTGATTTAGGAATACACAAGAATAAATAAAAATCCCTTGCGGTAGATTGAGAACCGCTGATATAACTGTAAAAGAACCATCGTGATATAACTGTAAAAGAACCATCGTGATATAACTGTAAAAGAACCAAGCCCGTCAGAAGGGACTGTTGTCAAAGAACAATCAATAATACAGTATCTCTAAGGAATGATTTGGAAAGTCAGACCATAGTCGGTGAGTTTTGGTCTTGTCCTGTCTCTTGCCATTGGTGTTAATATGTGTATGTGTTAGGGCTGGGCGATATAAACGGTATAAGCAGCATGCGATATAAATTTGGCCCACGGTAGAGATTTTTGTTATACCGGTATATTGCAATAGGTCATATGTCATCAAATTGCGCAGGCTCTGATTCCAGCAGAAAAGACCAAAACAACCGGCATTCAGCAGCATTAGCCTAGCGCATTAACCTAGCATTAGCCTAGCAGACACCACTGGAAACAGCGAACAACAGCGCAGAATTAACACCGTGTTTCTGTCTCTGTATTGTTGTCACAGCGGCCCCAGCAGAGGTGAATACACACACAGTAATCACAGTTTAACTGCTAATTTACACATCACGCGTTACAGCACGTACGCGTTATACGCGCAGCAGACGCGCGTAACTTTTTTCCATGTTAACCTATGATGATATTTACACTTCTAGCGTTATACGCGCGTATGATGGACATGTGACGCGAAGCTGCGCTCTAATTTAGGATGGATTTCTAATTTTGTGCGCGCACCAACGCGTCTCCCATTGAAATCTCATGTAAAACATGATTTTTCAAGCGGTCCTTGGCTTTAGATCACATCTGCACACACACAGGACACAGCACTTGTGTCTAAACATCAGCAGGAGGAGCAGCAGGTTTTACAGGGATTCTAGACATCGTTTTTTTTCTTTCATAAAGTCTCGCGTCTGGCCAAACCAGCGCACAGAGACCATGAGGACAAACACATGCATGTGATTTGTGTTGCTCTACATCAGTCCTCTGGCTCGTACTGTCCTCTACACTGCTCCATAGACACACACAGGGAGAGCATCAGAAGCCGCGGACCTGCGCGCACGGCCAGTGTAGATACTCCAAAAAAATGTTACGCGCAGAGAGCGCGCAGTAAACGCGTACGCGCTGTTTACGCCTACTGTGTAAATTCCCCGTAAGCGTCTACCTTTTGGACAATCAGTGTCAAAGGGGCGTAGGCTCGAAGCGCCAGCGTGTGCCGTCTCCGCAGCATCACAGCAGGAGTTTGGGAAAGTTAGCGTCAGATTCGGACCTCTGCGGTCAATATCTCACGAAAGCTACTTTGTTAAACAAACTTAATTGTGCCAAAATGACCATTTACATTAATTGTTCATGTAATGTCTGTATTAGCTTATACGACATATATAAAGAGACGAGACCAGGAGCTTACTTCGTGTGTACTTTTTACTGAACAGAATGCCGCGTAACACTCGTTTACATGGGGTAAAGCGCATCCCACAATACCTTGCGCAGGTGTCTCTTAAAGAGACCGTACATGTATTCCATACATTACATCTCCCCTTCTTAAATATGATTTACCCATGTATTAACACCATTTTAAATGTATGTTCTTGTAGCACAAATCCCCAAACATCAGGATGCTACACAAGAATATTCAATTCGAATTTCCAACGCATTAGGCCGGTACTACTATGAAAGTATCAACAGAACATTTCCAATTTTATGCTCACCCACCATTCTCCCCAAAAGAAAGAGGACACTTACTTATAAACCCCCATAGAACCAAAGGTATAACAAAAGCTGTGCGGACTTAAACATTAGCTATAGGCGTAAAACTGCTCTACAGTCTGATTACTTACAAGTCAAGTTTAGCTGCTGGTCTGCTAACTCTACCAGAGCGAGTCATCCCGGATCCGGATGTAACAGTCTCTGGTGTAATAACTGCGGGCTCCTTGTTGGTCATCTCAGAGTCCACAGTCTGTGAGTTTGCAACAGGATCCACATTTTCAGGTGTGGCCCTGTGAGGTACGGCTAGCAGGTGGCGCCTATTCCTCCTGTAGCGCTCACCCTGTGCAGTCTCCACTATATAAGACCTGGGAGTGGAGCTGGTACCTTGAATGACAGCTGGCCTCGTCCATTGTCCATTTTGTCCATCCAGTTTAGTGAGCACAGGGTCCCCTGGGCTCAGTGGTGGCAGACAACGCACTCCGTGTCTGCGGTTGTAGAAGTGTGCCTGCTTCTGTTTAGCTGAGGCATCAGCCTGTTGGATTTTGTCCATATCAGGCCAGCCTGGTTTCAGGTTGTCCTGTAGAATAGGCAAGGTGGTTCTAAGTTTCCTTCCCATCAACAGTTCAGCGGGGCTGGCTCCAGTGGAAGAGTTGGGAGTGGCCCTGTATGTCATGAGGGCCAGTAGGGGATCGTTCTGTCTCAAGATATTCTTTGCAATCTGGACAGCTCGCTCCGCATGTCCGTTGCTCTGAGGGAAGTGTGGAGATGACGTGACATGGGCAAAGTCATACTCCCTACTAAAGTCCTTCATCTCTGCAGAGGCTAGCTGTGGCCCGTTGTCACTAACTAACACCTCTGGGATGCCATAACGTGCCAAAGTAGCCTTAAGTCTAGACACAACCTGGCTGCTTGTAGTAGTGGGTAAATGCAGTATTTCTAAAAATCTAGAAAAATAGTCAGATACAACTAAGTAGTTCTGCTTTTTGAACTCGCATAGATCTACTGCCATCTTCTGCCATGGCCTGGATGGGAGTATACTTGGAAGTAAGGGCTCTTTTCGTTGTGTGTTTCTGTTCTCTGTACAGTACTGACATTGCTGCACTTTCATAGAAATGTCCTGTCTCATTTTGGGCCACCAAACCGACTGTAAAGCTCTTTCTCTACACTTAGTTAGACCCTGGTGCCCGTCGTGAATTCTGTCTAGGACCATTACTCTCATGTTTACAGGAATCACAATACGGCTCCCTCTCACTATCAGGCCATCTAGCTCAGATAGCTCTCCTCTCACATCATAGAAGTCTCTGACTGACAACGGTACCTTGTCTATGTACTCTGGCCACCCTGATTTGATAAAACTACGAACAGTCTGTAGCTGTGGATCATTAGCAGTGCTCTCCCTGATCTCACTGATTCTCTGAGAGGTGGCTGGCACCTGACTAATGACTACATCTATGTGTGCTGCTACGTCTTGGTGGGAATTCTCATCTCCGTAACTCTGCTCTGGGCCCCGAGACAAAGCGTCGGCTACTGCTAGAGTTTTACCTGGTGCATACTCTGCAATACCATTAAAGCGCATGAGTCTCATTAACAGTCGCTGGCACCTGATGGGAACGTTGTCCAGGTCCTTGCTGTTAATCAAGGGTACGAGGGGCTTGTGGTCGGTTACCAGTCTGAACGCCCAGACACTGGCCAGGCACTCTTTTTCAATTTGAGCGTACCTGGTCTCCGTGTCGCTGAGTCGTCTGGATGCGTAGGCCACGGGTTTCCATCGGTCCCCGTGCTGCTGTAGTAAAACAGCTCCCAGTCCGTAACTGCTCGCGTCTGCTGAAACTACAGTTGGTTTGTTAACATCATAAAAAACAAGAACTGGGGCTGTGGCCAACAAAGCCTTGAGGTTTTGAAAAGCTGTGAGCTGGGCAGGCTCCCAACCCCACTCTACGTTTCCCTTAAGCAGCGGGTAGAGTGGCTGGCCCACAGTAGACAGTTCTGGAACATATTTAGCCAAATAATTCACCATACCAAGGAACCTTTTCAGCTCGGTGATGTTCTGTGGCTGAGGGAAATTCTCAATCCCTGCGACTTTGTCCGGGTCAGGACGAACGCCGTTCTTGTCGAGGACGTGTCCGAGGAAGCGAATCTGGTCCCGCCGAAACTTGCACTTGCGTTCATTCAACTTGAGCCCTGCTGCCTTGATGACTGCCAGAGCCTTCGCCAAGCGCTGGTCGTGGATTTCCACATTCTCTCCGTGAATGAGGATATCATCCATGTACACTTCAGTCCCTTCGAGTCCTGCCAGAGTCTCCGCCATTTTCCTTTGGAAAATCTCTGGTGCACTTGTGATCCCGAATGGGAGCCGCCGAAATGCGTACCTCCCAAATGGAGTAATGAAAGTTGTGAGCTTTTGACTGTCCTTGTGCAGCGGTATCTGGTAAAACCCACTGGCTGCATCTAGTGAAGTAAAGACTCTGGATCCGGCCAGCCTGGGCAAAATCTCTTCCACAGTGGGCAGGACATATTTTTCACGCTGCACTGCACGGTTAAGCTTCCTGAGATCTGCACAACAGCGCACCTCCTCCCGGTTGGGCTTGAGCACCGGCACCATGGCTGCACACCACTCTGTTGGCTTAGTCACCTTTTCAATGATGCCTTCGCTTTCCATTCGGTGCAGCTCCTTCTTTACCAGAGGGACGAGGGGCAGGGGAATCCGTCTGGCTGTATGTACTGCATATGGCTGGGCACCCTCTTGTAGAACTATCTTCACTGGCTCTGTGTCCAGCAGTCCACCTGAGCTGAAAACAGTACTGACCTCGTTCACTCTTATCACAAGGCCCATCTCCACTGCCTCATGGCGCCCCAGTAAGCAGCTGACTTTCCCTTCTATGACATAAACATTGAACGTGTACTGCTGCTCTTTATACTTGGTGGTAGCCTGGAACAGCCCCATGCATTTGAGATCTCCGCCTGGACTCACAAACCTGGTGTTTGGTAGTTGCAGCTCAATTTTTGGCTTCATCATCTTGTATGTGCTCTGATTGACGACTGTAACATCTGCACCAGTGTATATTTTAAATGTTGTCAGCACATCATTTATGTCCAAGTCTACTGTCCATTTATCTCGATCAGTTTTATTGTCAATTTCTCCAAGGAAGTATGTCTGCTCCGACTCTTCAGTGATTTCTCTTACAGCCTTAGAGTGACACACTCGCTCCCAGTGCCCTTGTTTTTGACACTTATTACACTTGCTCTTAAGTGCAGGGCATTTTTTTATGTCCGAATGTTTGGGCTTACCGCATTTCCCGCAGCCCTCCATTTTGTATGTTCCCTGCCGGCTGCTTGCATCTTGGCGCGGTCTATAACGCCCCGGTCTGTCCGTGTGAGGTCCGCTCTGCCGCCGGACCATGTTCACCGCCATGGCCTCTGGCGCGCTGGACTGGAGGCTGACGTGCTTGTTGATCTCTTCTGCCTGGCGAATTTGTTCAGTCACCTCTTGTAACGTCAGGTCTGCTTTGAGTTGGAACTTACGGGACAGCTCTTTATCTTGAATGCCCACTACCAAGCGATCTCTGATGTGCTCATCCCGCTTATCGCCAAACTCGCAATGCTCCGCCACCTCGTACAAAACACGGATATACTGCTCTGCCGTTTCCCCGGGCTGCTGGCCGCGCTGATAGAAACAAGCCCGCTCATGTATGATGTTGCGGCGGGGAATAAAGTACTCGTCAAACTTCTTAAGCACCGCCTCGTAGCTTTTCTTTTCGTCTTCACTTAGGTTGAACGAAGTGAATATCTTTTCAGCCTCGCTCCCCATCGAATAGATGAGCGAACTCACTTGAATTTCGCCACTGTCCTTGCTGAGTTTTGTTGCAAGCCGATAGCGGGAAAATCTCTGTTTCCATTCGAGCCACTCAGCAGGTCGGTCAAACTTAAATTCACTCGGTGGGTTAAACTTCGCCATCGCGGTGATATCCTGGCTGCATGCGGGCCACTTCTGACACCATGTAATGTCTGTATTAGCTTATACGACATATATAAAGAGACGAGACCAGGAGCTTACTTCGTGTGTACTTTTTACTGAACAGAATGCCGCGTAACACTCGTTTACATGGGGTAAAGCGCATCCCACAATACCTTGCGCAGGTGTCTCTTAAAGAGACCGTACATGTATTCCATACATTACAGTTCAAATCCAATGTGCTGTTTTAATGAACATAAATCCATTGAATCATCCAGTTCACTGCAAGTGCAGAGAAAAGCACTTAGGGAGCGTCAACAAATGTCCAGACCAGCTTTGTAAACGAACAATAGCTTTTACTAAAGCCATGTACCTGCACTAAACTCTCAGACACTATAAATAATGACCATGTCTAACTCCTACAGACTTTGATTTCAACATTTGTGAGTTTTTTATATTTTAAATTAATACATGTTTTTCTTTTTAAAAATTGCTTTTATAGTGAATGGTATTTACTAACTACATAAATAATGTATGTTACAGCATTTGTCTCACAACTCAAAAAATATATATATTAGATTCTAATATATAAATAAGTAACAATCTTGACTATTTCATTCAAGAACCTGCTAGACCTACATTGAAATTCACACACCAAATTATACCGCAATATATACCGTCTGTGTCCCAAATTATACCGCAATATGAATTTCAGGACATATCGCCCACCCCTAGTATGTGTGTGTGTGTGTGTGTGTGTGTGTGCGTGTGTCATTGGCTGTCATGTGTTTTGTTGGAGTTATTGTAGGGTTTTGATTATTTTTTTTATTTTTATATTGTATTTTTGGATTGTATCTGAATGGCGCGGCGAGGATTGGATTCAAATAATATTTTTGCTTCGACCATTGTGTGTGTGTTGGTTTTGTCTGAGTACGTTTGCGTTTATGTGTGTGTGTGTGTATGATTTTTTTTGTATGAATTTGTGTGTGTCTGCGGGAGTTTGATGTTTTTTGTGAGATTGTGTGTGTTTGATGTCGTTTTGTATGAGTGAGAGGCGTGGCAGGTGGTACCATAACAGAATCTACTTTTGTATAGCGGTTACCGATACTAAAGCGTAATGGAAACACTAGAGTAGAGTAGAGTAGAGTAGAGTAGAGTAGAGTAGAGTAGAGTAGAGTAGAGTAGAGTAGAGTAGAGTAGAGTAGAGTAGAGTAGAGTAGAGTAAATTACAGCTAAGTAGAGAAGAGTAGAACCAAGGAAAGCAGAGGAGTGTAGTAGAGTTGAGTAGGGTGAAGTACGGCTGGTGGAAATGGGGCTCGATGACAATAATAACAATAATAATCATAATAACAATGATAATGCATTGGTTTTATACAGTGCTTTTTTGGACACTCAAGTCTTCAGTCTGCCTTTTCCGACAATTGGCCTACAGCAGCCTTTAACAAATGAAATCTACTTGAAGATTGTTGTTCAAGAATCAAGAATTTGTATTTTAGCTGAACTCCCAGACTCTCTGTGTGCAGCAGGAGCAAGCAGAAGCTTTAGGCTTGTTTTAGGCCACGAGGAGCTGGGACCAAACCGGATGAAACAATCTTCATCCTTTTTGCAGAGAGAGCCCTGTGAGTCACTATGTGGTGCTTTGGGCTTAGAGCTGATTGGCTTAGTGAAGATGGTCCTATTCTTTTCTCTTTTCCAACTGAAGAAGCCGATCTGAACATGTGACAAGTACTGACAGAAACACACAGCTTTAAGGTTTGCGACGGCTGCATGGAGCTTAGTCATGTGTAAATAACGTGGTTTAAATGTCTGTAAATGAATCCTCATCTGCAGCTTGAGTCATCCTCAGAGAGCGCCCTCCTCCAAACTCAATCCTCCGAACTCTAAACGCTTCATAGACAGAAAAATGAGGATTATAGTTTTGTATGTGCAGGAGCTTGAACTGTTCCCTTTCATCAGAGCTGGGAGTTTAGAAGGTTGATGTTATTATTATTATTTTTTTCTGATGTCGTTTGCAGAAGTGTTGCTAAGAAACTGCTCGTCGCCTCAAACGCCGCAGTCAGACGACAGAATGTGTAACGGCGGCGTCACCCGGCCGCGCCGCTCCGGGCCGTGCGCAGTGACAGGACGTGTGCAGATCAATATCATAAATGTCACCGTGACGACGGCCCCCGCTGCATTCTTACGCTCGCATCTCTTTCATTAATGCGGCTTTTTATGAGACGGCTGCAAACACTGTCAGAGAGCGTGATTTAATAACATGTTATTTATTTAGACTCTGAAGTATTGCAGCTCGACAACCGCTTCCATCAGTCAAACACATCCTTTGGACACATTTGAATATACCCTAACCCTAACTCTAAACCTTTCTTTTATTGCTACTTTTTTATTGTACATAATTGTATTCGGCACAGACTATAATTTTAACCTTTTAAGAAGCTATACCCAATTTTTTTTAATGAGTTCTTAAAGACGACAGTGGGCGACAGTAGCTCAGTTGGTAGAGTATTGGCCTTAAGGCCAGAAGGTCGTGGGTTCAATTCCCACCTCTACACCTTCTCCACCGACTCCCACTGATGACTGCTGTTGTTGTGTCCTTGGGCAAGACACTTAACCCCACTTTGCCCAAAGCCCCTGCTGGAAGATCTCAGCTCCTGTGGACTCACCACCTGCAGAGGGTCAGTGAGGGGCTGGTGCTATGAGATTTGGGTGGCATCTCTGATTGCCACCCCCCTGACCCAGAAATGGATTAAAGGGTAGAAAATGGATGGATGGATGGATGGATGGAGTTCTTAAAGATGCTTATTACTACATACAAGTTGTATTATAATCCGTAATTGAATTGAAAACTTGAGCTCATTGATTCAGCTTGCGTATGAATTCAGGCCATAAAAAGTGCTGAGTAGAGACTTTCTCCTCCAATCACAGAGCGAGGCTGCGTCCTCTAGCCTCTACAGCGCTGCTAAACACAGTAGCATGTTAGCATAAGTGGCTGTAACTGCAGACACAGCAAAACAGCCCAAACCACACAACAGTGAGGAAGAGAAGAGGGAACTAAAGCGATGAACATAGCTAGCTTACATCGTATCCTCCGGAGAGACCTGCGAGTGCGGACCGCCTCGGACTATCTATGCTCGGAATACACTGTATTCGGACGTGATAGCGGTAATCTTTCGGTTATATATTTTGTTAGCTGTGCGTTGCTTTTGTACCATTTCATCAGTGATTGTTTTTATCAGCTTACAAGTTGCGCTAATGCTAATGTTAGCATATAGATCGCAAATAAAACTAGATGGCTCCGTGTTATGAGAGCGTAGGGGAAATGAGAAGCCTGTGAGCGAGTTGGGGGCGGGGCTAAACATTCAAACCTTACAGAAACGGGTATAGCTCCTTTAACATGTTGCACACTTCTGTCTTTTGCACAATCAGAGTGATCCTATCGAGGCCAAATGTGACAATAAGAGATCAATAAAGTCAATCTTATCTACGGACCGCTGGACATGAGAAACACTGAGTTTGATTCCTGGTCAGAACAGGGCCTCTCTGAGTTCTGATGTTCTCCTCATGTCTGCCTAGGTTTACTCCAGGTGCTCCGGTCACCTCTACCACTAAAAACCTCCAGCTCTGCCCCTGACAAAGAGCATCCTTCCGTACCCTAGCATCTCTGAAGGATGGGTCATACGCAGAGGACACGTTTCTTTACGGGAACAATAAAGTATATCTGAACTGACTCAAAAGTCGTCTCCAGTGACATTGTGAAGCTAAAAGACTGATTCTCATCTCGGCTTTTAAACATAATTTTGTTCCACGTTCTTCCAGTCTTTTCTTATCAACATTTGAACAGCCGCAGATTTATCAAGAGGCAAAAAGACAAAAGCTGAGATCAAAGCACTTCACCATTTTCTGTTTAAGCTGTTCTTTTTGTCCTTTTCTGATTTTAAATTAAGTTTTCTCTCCAGGAAGTGTTTTGTAAAGGCAGAACTTTGTGGCATAAGGAGTCCTCTCTATGTTATGTTGTAGTAAATGATCACAGTGAAACTTCTGTGAAGCCATGTGAGTCACTATATGCCTCCCTGGGCCAAGCCATTGACAAATTATTTACCAGGTGACACAACAAAACAAAAGAACCTGTGAATCTACATTTCAATGACATTTTAAAGGTCTCAAACCAAAGTGTGTCACAATTTCCTAATAATGGGGCATTATTCATTCACTGCTCTAGCCGCAGCTGCCCTGGGACAAACATTCACACACCAGAGTCCTTCTAGGCAATGTGGGTGATGAGTTTTGTCTAAGGACACATGTTTGGCACTTTAAAGCCGCCCCACTGTGGCACCTGGTGTTCTCAAAGGTCTCCCATCACCCTACTAACCAAGCCCTGCCCTGCTTAGTTTCAGAGGTCTGACAGGATCTGGCTTTCACATGCAGGTAGCACCACCCTCCTCATATATGTTCTATAGATATTGAAGAATGTGATCTTTAATATGGATCCAGTATTTGCATTTACTTAAACATTTGTCTGCACTATTCATTCAATTTAATAATTTCTTTATTAGAAAAGGTTTGGAAAAACACTAGACTGTATATATTAACAGACGTTTTCACACCTATCTCCGCTGTTCTAACTAACGGGCCAAAAATTGGGCTTTCCTGGAGTGATTCAAAATGGCCGCGGGGTCTGGAAAATGTGAAAAAACCATGGATCTATTGTAATGACTGGATAGGGTATTACTAGCTTGTAGCTGAATAACTCATGTGCTCTGGGGATTCTCGCGGTACTGCAGACTAGACCAGACTAAACTTACTTGGGCTACCCAGACATTTTCCCCATAGAACTCAATGCATATTAAAACAGCTCGACCTCAGCTGACAGAGAACCTACAGCTTTCATAAAGGTCGGATTTTGTGGGGATTTTAGTGTCCCTTGTCATCCTGAACTTTTTTTCTTCTTAAATCCTTCGGTTTTGTTTGAATCCACACTTTAGTGCCACAAACTCTGCTCGTCTGGCTCTCGCTCTAACTCCCGCTCTGATGAGCTGCTCTGATTGGTCAGAGCGCGGCCGAGCCCCTCTGTGCACGTGCGTGAGACCCGGTGTGAGACCCACACACGCGTGTTTGGCGCAACGCATTATGGGAGATCATCCACTGCACAGAACCGGGAGGACCAGACGATGCCCAAATACAGCCGAGTTTCCCAAAGATCTTTGCGAGTTTCAGACGACTTCCGCTAATCTTTCAGCCCCATGCCGTCTCAAAGCGCCACTGAGCACAACCATTCATTGAATAGGGCGCCATCTTGAATCGCCGGGGCTTGGAAAAAACGCATCTGCGCATGCGTCAACCGGCGAGAGCTCCATTCATTTAAAAGAGTGACTTCAAAAATTGACAGCAGGTAAACTAGACTGGTCCAAAACAATCCACCCCCCTCAGCATTGACACACATGTGGAACGGAGCTTTGGGCCAAGAGACAACTTTTGGACCATCCTGTAAAGGTGTTTTCGGTAAGGTAAGAAGATGCTATATGTTAGCATTGGCTAATTCTTATTCTGGGTCCACCCCCATTGGCCCGGGGTGGTATTGCAGCATGTCAGCGCACGTCATTTTGACCACTTTTGAGCCGGGACCCGCCCCCACTGGGAAAAACACATATAATCATGACTTGTGCTGCGTTGTAGAACCTTCACTTGACCCACATTTAAGAAACGTCCTCTTGAAACTAATCGTACTAATTCATCTTCAACTACTGCACATGTGTGAATACTTACGCACATTTTTCGAGTTTCTATGTTTTTAAAAATAACTAAATAAATCATGTATTAAAGCGTATTATAGATGCACTGTAATTGGTCGGAGTGTTCACACTAGACACGCCCCTGCAAAAGGTCGCAGGGCGGGTTAGATGCCGAGTCGTTCTGACACACCTGCCCGTGTCTCTCAGTGTGGAAGAAAGAGGGCGACATGGGGGTTTTTGCTCAGTGGAAATGAGGCTTCAATGAGAGGATGTTCTGGTGTGTGTCGTCTTCTCTGTCTGGTGCACACCGGGGTAGTCTTTCCTATGTGGTTTTACTGCAAATGGCAAATAAATGAATCTGAATCTGAATCTGAATTTAGACAAGTCAGTGTGGTTGCAGGTTTTCATTCCAACTTCTGCTATGCACAGCAGACTCCATTCATTCAGGTCTTCAGGTCGAGACTGGACTCGCTTGATAAAATGGGTGGCTCTTTGAGAAGCGGTTTGAAGACCACGATCAATACTAGGACTTTCAGAATTCTGAAACTAATATAACTCCCAGAGCAGTCATTTTGATGGTTCCTATTCAAATCCATTTTAGTTTTTCTCTACTTTTAATAAAATCAAGTAATTCATATGATGTATATCTTTAATACATGTTAAAACTGGTGAATGCAACTGAAATACAGCAAAACTAAACACTAACTTCTACAAGTAAACGGTGTGTTGCTATGGTAACTATGCACTTATTCAAAGCTGAGATTGCTCTAGACCAGTCTAGGACCAGTCTAAGATCGAGATAATCCCACAAAAATACAGTAATTACACAGAAAGAAGTTATGAAGAGGAAAAACGTACATAGGAGGAGTAATTACACGCCCAAAAGCCGCCGAAATGACTGCTCTGGGAGTTCTAGTGTTAATACAGAAGAGCTTGTGCTGATTCATGGCAGAAGTTCCAGCTAGTATTGTGGAAGGACCTAAACACAACTCTGGGTTAAAAGCTAAAAAAAAGTCCAGTACGATGTAAACATTCAGAAATAAGAAGATGGAGGACGTTCTGCAGCCGTCACTCGAGCAGGGAGCGCGTTGGCGGTAATGACACGTAATGGAGCGGACGAGCGGCAGCGTGCAGAGGCTGACCTGTGCCGGACCCGGAGGCGGACGGCTCGCATGCTCTGCTGTTTCCATGGCGACGGGCCCAGTCTGCCTTCACTGACACAAGCAGGCTCCCACGCACTCGCAGGTAAACAGGAGAGCGGAGAGCCAGGTTGCAATCGCATTGATATTACACAGGGATCTGACGGACCCCGGGGTCTCTCTGATCCTGAGCGTGCGAGTCAGCGGCCAATGAAGGGTTAACCCACAGGAAAGAGCTACACACGTTTAAAGAAGAGCAGAACCTGTGCTCGTATGTCTCTGATGGAAATGGTTCCTCTGTGTTGGATACACACTCATGTAAAGCAGTGGTCCTCAATCTCTACGTTCAATTCCATGTGTTTGTGTACAGCCTGAAGTTGTGAGAGCAGTCGTCTCAGAGGATTTTACAAAGTTCAGATCAGAGAATCAAACAGTTCATTCAAACACATACAATAATAACAAATAATGTGAAAAATGTGAGAAACCTCGGGGAGGCCCATGCACATTGAGAGAGGGATCCGCTGCTACGGACGGACTGATGCTGCAGATCCAGGACTGATGCTGCAGATCCAGGACTGATGCTGTAGATCCAGGACTGATGCTGTGGATCCAGGACTGAGGCTGTAGACCCAGGACTGATGCTGTAGATCCAGGACTGATGCTGTAGACCCAGGACTGAGGCTGTAGATCCTGGACTGAGGCTGTAGATCCTGGACTGAGGCTGTAGATCCTGGACTGAGGCTGTAGATCCTGGACTGAGGCTGTAGATCCGGAACTGAGGACCAGGACTGAGGCTGTAGATCCTGGACTGAGGCTGTAGATCCAGGACTGAGGACCAGGACTGAGGCTGTAGATCCAGGACTGAGGACCAGGACTGAGGCTGTAGATCCTGGACTGAGGCTGTACATCCAGGACTGAGGCTGTAGATCCTGGACTGAGGCTGTAGATCCATTTGGTAATCCTGACCTCAGATTTAAAGAGCTTGGTAACCCTTAATGTAGAGAGAAGGGAACATTGTACCTGAACTCACTGATCTTAGTGTTGATTGAGCTGAAATGGTTGACTAAAACATTGTTAAACCTTTTAGATTGTATGTTTGGCTGTGTGGCTGACACATACAGCAGGGGTCTCCAACCTTTAGAGAGCTACTTTTATGAAACATAACATTCAGAGAGTCCTTTTAGCAGTCGTGATACAATTTTGGTCTATATACTAATTACTACTACTAATCATGAAGTAATGACTCAAAAGTGAATTGTTCAGGACCATATGTTACATTCTTGAATCCTTTGGGGAGCTACCTGAAAGATGGTGGTGAGCTGCTGGTAGCTCCAAACCACAGCTTGGAGACCCCTGGTACAGCTTTGTGTAATCGTTTATTGTACACTTTCTGAAAGGAAAAACTTTGTATACAGACTAATAAAACAGCAGCTTTAAAAGGTGCACACAGCAGTGGGCAGAGCAGTCGTGGGGGATGACGGCAGCAGAAGAGCGCCTCTTTAATTGCGCTGCGGCCTCTGAGTAATGGTGGGAGCGATAGAGCGGGCGCTGTGTCACGGAGCAGCATTAACTATGACATAAATCAGATAAGTCCACGCCTCCGGGGCCGCGGCTGATCCAACACACGCAGAATCAACTCTGTAGCAGAAGGTTCTCTACTGCAAAAACAATGTCTGACTTTTACGGGGATCCTTTGATTGTCGCTATCACTCAGACGCATTGATGTGAAGAAGAACATGGCTTCTGATTGTAAAAGATGTGGCTCTCGGAGGACGGTTGAAAGCGCCGGAGCTCGAGGATAAATCCTGGGTAAAATTGGCCCACAGGCAATCTGGAACATACCATCAGTTTGAGAAGGAGTGAGAAAAACATGTGTCTTTAACCAGAAGGACAGCAGCGGTCTCTCCTGTCGAGGCCACACACTCCAGCACCAATGAGACGAAAGTGCATCGTTAAGAAGAGTAAGACTGTGGGCGGGTCTCGCTGTGGCAGACACACAACACAGACAGACACACACGACACAGACACACAATACAGACAGACACACACGACACAGGCAGACACACACGACACAGACAGACAGACAGACACAAACAGACACACACAACACAGACAGACAGACAGACACAAACATACAGACACATGCAGACAGACTGACACACACGACACAGACAGACACACGCACACACACACGACACAGACTGACAGACACGACACAAACAGACAGACAGACACACACACACATACAGACACATGCAGACAGACTGACACACACGACACAAACAGACAGACAGACAGACACACTTATACACACTCAGACATGCACACACACACAGAATGACACACACACATGCAGACAGACTGACACACGCAGACAGACAGACAGACACACACACACACACACTCAGACATGCACACTCGCACACATACAGAATGACACACAGACAGATGCAGATATACAGTACACACACACACACACATGCAGACAGATTGACTCACACAGACGGACAGACAGACACACACATATACACACACGCAATTGCATACACACACGCACACACATACACACACTACACAGAGACAGACACACACACACAGACATTACACACACACACACACGCACACACACACACACACACATACACAGAGGCCAGTTCTCCTCCAAACAGCTGCTGCTCCATCTCTCAGCGTCCTGTCGTCCTGTCTGATATTTCCTTTTGCCAAGTTTTCATGTTCCGACTTCAGATGAAACTGTTGACAAAAACATGACTGAGACACAGCTACACTTTTATACGTCGGCTGTGAAACCATTTTTATCAGAACGTTGCTCACCTGGAAATACAAGATGAAAGTGCCACGTCCTAAACCCTTCTCTCTAAATCACAGACTGAGGTTTATGGAGCTCCTAAAGTGAACACACGACAATGACAAGGTTTTTAAAGCCTTCCAGTCTTTGAGAATGGTTTCAAAGTTGTTTTGAGGTGATTTCTTAATGTTGGAGTCATTTTTAGTTATATTCTCTAGTGATTCACCGACACCACTTTGTCCAAACCCAGTACGAGTACGAGTACTTCATGTTGGGTACTTTCTGATACGATACAAGGCTTAATTTTGGGCGGCACGGTGGCTGAGTGGATAGCACTCTCGCCTCTCAGCAAGAAGGTCCTGGGTTCGAATCTCGGTTGGACCAGGGCCTTTCTGAGTGGAGTTTGCATGTTCTCCCTGTGTCTGCATAGGTTTCCTCCGGGTGCTCCGGTTTCCCCTACCACTAAAACTATGTACAGTCTGGCATGTGCCTCTTGTACTGGCGACCCCACTCCCAAAAATCACAATTGTAAACCGCTTTGAGACTCCGATGTGCAGTGAAAAGGCGGTATATAAATAAAGATTACTTACTTACTTAATTTTACAGAGAAAATATAGTAAAAAAAGTCACTGGATAATATTTTTATTATAAAAATACACTTTTTATTTTACAGATTATGATGTCTGCACTTAATCGTAGCATGTGTCTCCCCTTAAAGTATATTTTTTTAGTAAGAGGGCCTTTTTTTGCAACAGCAGATTAGTTCAGGGGCCGACAACCTGGATTAAAGTTAAAGCAGCGTAACCATGTGATAAACCTGGGGCCACGCTATACACCAATGTTTGCAGTTCATCACTACTTTCTTGCAATGTTCAGCAATTCATGTGTTTTTCTTTAAGATATGTAAATCAGCACAATTGCAAAAAGTAAGTAGTAAGTCATTTTTCTTTATATAGGGCATTTTTACAGCCCAAGGTCACCCAAAGCGCTTTACGCAGTCCAAAGTTCAGATATTGTTCCATTCTCTCCACACGATGATGACAGAAGCGAGACGCCGAACACACTGGAGTTTGTACTGGTAGTGAAACTGGAGCACCCGGAGGAAACCTACACACACACAGGGAGAACATGCAAACTGTCTGAGAAGCAAGAGGGCCATCCACTCAGCAGCAAATAAAAAAAGTAAATAAATGGTGAGGTAATCAACAGTCTCTTGATTTACCTCAGTCTCCGTCCCCTCTCTCACCTCTGGTTATGAGCTTTGGGTAAAGACCGAAAGGACGAGATCGTGGATAAATGGGGAGGTTCCTGTGGCTAGGCGCTCCCTTAGAGATAGAGGAGATCAGGAGAAGACCCAAGACACGTTGGAGGAACTGTTTGTCCCCGCTGGCCTGGGAACGCCTGGGATTGCCTCGGATGAGCTGAAGGAAGTGTGTGTGGAGAGGGAACCCTGGGCGTCTCTGCTTGGAGGAGGGGGTCTACAGTCTCCTCCAAGCAGTGGTCGGAATCAGGACTGGACCAGAACTGAACCATCTCTAATGTGTGAGCTCACCATAACTGGAGGAAGCAGCTGGGTGTGATGCAGAAGGACATGTCTGCTGAGTACCACCCCCTGCACCTCTGCTGCCGCCCGCTCGTCAGCAGGTCCCTGTTTTCTTTTTTCTTTTTTTAACCTTTATCTAACCAGGAAAGTCCCATTTAGATTAAGAACCTCTTTTTCAAGGGATTCCTGGACTAATGTGATGTCAAATGAGTGACACTGTTCTGACTCTCTCTGGTGTGGTGTCAATGTCATCATTCAACTTTCTAGTTTTGACGCCAACTTCACTGCTTCTTGATTGGAGCCAAACTATTATTTATATTTGGAACAGGTACGCAAAGAAAATGGGGAATCATCTCTCCTCCTGTGTCTGAGCTCTCCTCCCCCTCCTCCCTCTCCTCCCTCTCCTCCCCCTCCTCCCTCTCCTCCCCCTCCTCCCCCTCTAAGCCTACACACTGTTTCTGGATCTCTCTTTGTGCTGCTCAGTGAAGATAAAATGAAGCATGGAAATTCAGATTTGCCCCAAAGTCACCTCCACTTCTCTAATCTGCCTCAGAGCTCTGCCTCAGAACTCACTCTTGGGACGAGCTCCAGTCCGTCAGCGCGGAGACAGTGAATGTGTCGTTAATGATGCTCTGCGCACCTTTCCCACCGGGACGCACTCCTGCTATTACCGTTTGTTTTATTGGGAAAGAAAAATGACTCCACATCAGTCCAGTCATCGTACATTTAAGTGCAGACCAGAGAACAGGCCTGACGTGCTGCTGATTATAATAAACCCCATAATTCCCTTTGTTTGCATTAACTGACATTTGTTTTTTATTGTGTCACAAATGTATGTACCACTAATTAGGGGTGTGACAATATATCGATTTTTTGATATATCGCGATACTTTCTCCCGCGATTCAATTATCGATATGCATTTGCCAAGTATCGATATCGATTTTGAAAAAAAAAAAAAAAAGATTTTTTTGTTTTTTTGTTTTACAATTTTGAAAAAAAATTTGGTATCAATACTTAATATACGGCTACATTACGCATCTCCATTCCATTTATCATGAAATAAAGTGTAGTTTTTCTTTTATTTATGCCATAAATTGGTATATTGTATATATCTCACCAATATATCAATAATCGTCATATCGTGATAACATCGTTATCGTGATAATATCGTTATCGTGATAATATCGTTATCATGATAATATCGTTATCGTGAGCTTTTTATCGTGTATCGTATCGTATCGTGAGGTACCCTTAGGTTCCCACCCCTACCACTAATGTAGCTGTGGTGTGAATTAATATGGACAAACTGTATATCATCTCGATTTTAAAGTCCTGAACAGCCTGAGTCCAAGGAAAGACATTGACAACTTAAAGATCCAACTCCAACTTTTAAACTAAGAAGTTCTCCTAGAAATATTTGAGTCCAACTTCAACATCTACAGCTCAAGCCTCTTTAAAAAAGTTTGAAAGCCCCCTAGACAAGTCTGATAACCTGAATTATTATATGACTTGGATCGTACGCGCGCTCTGCTTGGCTGATATTTTCCCATCTTGGACCGTTACCATGACAATCGGTCCGCAGCACGTATCAGATTTGATATCTTTCCTCTGTAAAAAAAGAAATGATGAGCGACGACTGGGAGCATTCTCCAGTGAATTATATTATCCGGACGAGTTCGAAGAGACACAGGAAGTAATAACAGCAAATAACGACAAAAACACGACTCCTAACAGTCAAGAAGAGATTGACAACTTCGTTACAGATCAGAAAGGTAAAAACACGGTTAGGAAAACCATGAACATACTTCACAAATATCTAAAAAGCATTGGTAAAGACACAGAAGAGATTTAGAACTTACCAGCGGGCGCCTCAATCATCTGATAAGTTCTTCATATCACGATTTGACAGTTTGGTTGCATGTGTTTTTAGTTGAAACCGATATATATATATATATATATATATATATATATATATATATATATTTGCACAAATTAGAAATAGTCATATAACAAAACATTTATTAACCTCGCTTGCTCAGTCTGTACAGAGAAATATCAAACCTTGGTCTTTTTGTACAGACCAAGCCGTGTTCTGATATTTCTCTATACAGACCCCGCACTCGTTTAATAAGCGGTTCATCATCATATTCATCATGAGTTTGAAGACAGATAATTTAGACAGAAGGGTTGGGGGTGGAGTGTTTGTGCCAGAAGTCGGTGATGATAATGTGAATGAAGCTAAAAGCAGCTCCAGGTCTCTTTCTGAAAAGTGTTGGAACATGTTTCAAAGCTTCATAAAGACCTTGTTACTTGTTTCACTGTGTCTTGAGCACAAAGAGACACCAGACGAGATATGTGTCCCAAAGTGAGTGTCATCTCCCGCGGCACCCTCTGGACACTGTCCCAGAATATGTGACACTTGGGGACAGTTGGCCACCATTATTTATTTAGCCCTGTATCACTATCCTCAAATGACAGAACTCTTTCAGATCTCTCACAACATTTGTCACAAATCTGAAGCTGATGTCACAGCTGAATGTATTTGTGTAAAACCCCACATCACAACAGGAGTTCTGACTTTATCAGTTGGAACCCAGGAATTACAATACATTTGACCACTTAGGAGTCATGGGTCCATAGGGAGCGGGATGAGCACTGTCGAGAGAGATTGAGAGAGAGAGAGAGAGAGAGAGAGAGAGAGAGAGAGAGAGAGAGAGAGAGAGAGAGAGAGAGAGAGAGAGAGAGAGGAGAGAGAGAGAGAGAGAGAGAGAGAGAGAGAGAGAGAGAGAGAGAGAGAGAGAGAGGCAGACATGGAGAGAGAGAGATTTTCGCCCGATCCACTTGTTACAGACCATGAATCCTCTCTGCTCTGACCAACATCTCAGGTCAAAAAAAGAAATAATAATTTAAATTTAAAAGCACAAAACAACAACTGTATCAGAGCTACTTAGGACTTGGAGCCGTTTTCCAGCGCATTCAAAAGTAAAAAAGATGTTGATAAATATCCATACATTTCCCGGATAATCGCTGTCCTGCATCGGCAAGGGGGAAAAAAATCCCAGAGCGAAAAAAGTGAGAACCCTCAGGACAACCACATTCGGAGAGGCATCTGCTCCCATGAACGGACACTGTAGATCCAGAACAGATGAAAGATGCCTCAGGGGTCCCATCAACACGCCATAAAACAGATAAAAGGAAACAGCAGGTGAATAGCAATGAACAGACTACAGCCGAAGCTATAATGGTGACAGTAGGAGTAGAGGAGAAGGTGGTACTCAGGGTTTGTCCCCTGAAGACCATTAAAGATGCAGTCAGTGATTTTTTCCAGACGCTTTCTCTTTTAATATTGTGGGAAAACGTCCCTAAGCCCGAAAAGTATCAAGTTATCATGTGTTTTCAAATAGTAATGAAATTGACCAGATGCCTATAGTCGTTCATCCCCAAACAACCAATGGGATGCATTTATCCCCTTCACCCTCTTCCTGTTTCTCACGAGTGCTCCTGAGTTATCAGATTATTTTCTAAAACCATAAATGGCTGAACAGAAAATGGCAATTTCACGTTTACCACCCACTTTCCTAGTCTGGTCGTACCACACCATAGTACAAATGATATTTCGTACTAAGGTCTGAACGTGCTCCATTGAGCTCCGTTTACAGGTGGGAGGGGTTAACTCCTTTTGCAGATTGAAACCATTGGATCTGAGTCTACTGTCACGTATGTAATGCTCCCGAGTCTGTTGTTAGCATTTACGAAAGTATTACACATTTAGCCTAGCTTTAGCCATCTCCTTTGCCGCTAACGGAGCCCGTGGGGAGTAGCGCCACAATTTTTTCCAGCGATTACATTTGCTAAACATTCCTATTGCCCCGGCTTCAATTTCTTGTTAGAACCAGACCGGATTACTTTACTATCGCATTTTTTGCCCCTGCCAAACTACAACCTTCCTGTTCGACGCAAACTCTTGACGTCACCCACAACTAACTACAACACCCGCCTTCCGCGCTCGCTGATTGGTCGGTCAAAATTCAACCGATTGTATTCGCTAACACAGGGAGCAGACCCAGACGTTACATGCAGTGAAATGATGATTGAACGAAGTGTACGGATGGATGAGGCCAGGCTACCACTCTCCCTGTTGTGACAAAGAAAATGCTGGATGTTTGGTTTGGTGGAGAGGGGAGGGGAGGGGGGGGGGGGGGGGGGGGGGGAGTGGTTTCCAGTTGTTGCTACGGCTAAGCTAACAACATCGCTTACTGCATCTTTAAATGACTCTGCAGCACAAATGTAAAATAATCGTCTCTTGTGTATCGCAGACGCCTCTTGTGTATCGCAGACGTGTCTCGTGTGTATCGCAGACGTCTCTTGTGTATCGCAGACGTCTCTTGTGTATCGCGGACGTCTCTTGTGTATCGCGGACGTCTCTTGTGTATCGCGGACGTCTTGTGTGTATTGCGGACGTCTCTTGTGTATCGCAGATGTCTCTTGTGTATCGCTGACATCTCTTGTGTATCGCAGACGTCTTGTGTGTATCGCAGACATCTTGTGTGTATCGCAGACGTCTCTTGTGTATCGCAGAGGTCTTGTGTGTATCGCAGACATCTTGTGTGTATCGCAGACGTGTCTTGTGTATCGCGGACGTCTCTTGTGTATCGCGGACGTCTTGTGTGTATCGCGGACGTCTCTTGTGTATCGCAGACGTCTCTTGTGTATCGCAGACGTCTCTTGTGTATCGCAGACGTCTCTTGTGTATCGCAGACGTCTCGTGTGTATCGCACACGTCTCTTGTGTATTGCGGACGTCTCTTGTGTATCGCGGACGTCTCTTGTGTATCGCGGACGTCTCTTGTGTATCGCGGACGTCTCTTGTGTATCGCAGACGTCTCTTGTGTATCGCAGACGTCTCTTGTGTATCGCAGACGTCTCTTGTGTATCGCAGACGTCTCGTGTGTATCGCACACGTCTCTTGTGTATTGCGGACGTCTCTTGTGTATCGCGGACGTCTCTTGTGTATCGCGGACGTCTCTTGTGTATCGCAGACGTCTCTTGTATATCGCGGACGTCTCTTGTGTATCGCGGACGTCTCTTGTGTATCGCGGACGTCTCTTGTGTATCGCGGACGTCTCTTGTGTATCGCGGACGTCTCGTGTGTATCGCAGACGTCTCTTGTGTATCGCAGACGTCTCTTGTGTATCGCAGACGTCTCGTGTGTATCCCGGACGTCTCTTGTGTATCGCAGACGTCTTGTGTGTATCGCAGACGTCTTGTGTGTATCGCAGACATCTCTTGTGTATCGCAGACGTCTCTTGTGTATCGCAGACGTCTCGTGTGTATCGCAGACGTCTTGTGTGTATTGCAGACATCTCTTGTGTATCGCAGACGTCTTGTGTGTATCGCAGACATCTCTTGTGTATCGCAGACGTCTCTTGTATATCGCAGACATCTCTTGTGTATCGCAGACGTCTCTTGTATATCGCAGACATCTTGTGTGTATCGCAGACGTCTCTTGTGTATCGCGGACGTCTCTTGTGTATCGCGGACGTCTTGTGTGTATCGCGGACGTCTCTTGTGTATCGCAGACGTCTCTTGTGTATCGCAGACGTCTCGTGTGTTATTGCAGACGTCTCGTGTGTATCGCAGACGTCTCTTGTGTATCGCAGACGTCTCTTGTGTATCGCAGACGTCTCTTGTGTATCGCAGACGTCTCTTGTGTATCGCAGACGTCTTGTGTGTATCGCAGACGTCTTGTGTGTATCGCAGACATCTCTTGTGTATCGCAGACGTCTCTTGTGTATCGCAGACGTCTCATGTGTATCGCGGACGTCTCGTGTGTATCGCAGACGTCTCGTGTGTATCGCAGACGTCTCTTGTGTATCGCAGACGTCTTGTGTGTATCGCAGACGTCTCTTGTGTATCGCAGACGTCTCTTGTGTATCGCAGACATGTCTCCTGTGTATCGCAGACGTCTCTTGTGTATCGCAGACGTCTCCTGTTTATCGCAGACGTCTCTTGTGTATCGCAGACGTCTCTTGTGTATCGCAGACGTCTCGTGTGTATCACAGACGTCTCTTGTGTATCACAGACGTCTCCTGTGTATCGCAGACGTCTCTTGTGTATCGCAGACGTCTCTTGTGTATCGCAGACGTCTCGTGTGTATCACAGACGTCTCTTGTGTATCACAGACGTCTCTTGTGTATCGCAGACGTGTATCGTGTATTGCAGAAGTCTCGTGTTAATCGCTGACGTCTTGTGTGTCTCGCAGACGTCGTTTATGACCCGTGTGTGTTGTGTGTTTGGACAGGTTTGGCGGTTCACCAGATCATCACTATCACTGTGTCTCTCATCATGGTCATCGCCGCCTTGATCACCACTCTGGTCCTAAAGAACTGGTAGGACACAATCTTCTTCATCACACTGTTTTATAACACATGCACTTCACATGAAAGGAAAAAGAAGAACCTTCTTCCCCCTCCCAAACAGTGTTTTTGTGAAAATTATTATTAGATTATTATGAACGTAGAATAGTGTTCAAAAGTAAATTTTCAACAGAAAATGTGAAACCAACTCATTCCACACAAAGTGACACTATACATCATATTTATATAGGTGTGTATATAAAAATGCTTCTCATGTTTAATGTGTCATATTTTAACTTCACATTTTTCAATGCAGAAGGATTAGACTCATTATATTAGACTTATTTTAGGGCTGCCTGAATGTCCAACAAGTCGTGCAATCAAAATTCCCCACAATGCATCTTGAAAAGGCTGAGTGAAAGCAGATGGAAGAGCTGTTTTTTGTGAAAACATAAGGTCCTATTTTACCATAATTTACGCGACTAATACTGAATATCAAAAGTAGGTAATTCCTTCTAAACATGTTTTTAAATATGAATCTATTTATAAAATATCAGAAAGATGTGCCTTTTCTCTTTACCAAGTCGTTTATCTATTCTAGTGTCATACTAATAAAGTGTTATCTCCTCTTGAGCGAGTTCTATCAAAGTTTTTATCAAGTTTATCGTGGGTTATATTCTAGAACACTTAACCCCTGCGACACACTAAGGACCAGTGGAAACTGTGTCATTTCGCTTGGATTAACCTTAGGGACTAGTCACCCTCCCAAATCAGAAATTGATTAATAAAGCTTCAAACTTGTGCTGATGGTGTTCTGCTGGAGGTGTGATCTTCTGGTGTTGTGTTCCGGTGTGTGGTGCGTGCTTCTGCAGTTGTGCGCAGTCCGCCAGCAGCCGTCACAATAGCCATCAGCGTAAGATCCACCAGCAGGAGGAGAGCTGCCAGAACCTGACCGACTTCACCCCGGCCCGAGTCCCCGGCAAGGTGGACATCTTCAGCGCCTACGACAGCCTGCAGTGCTCCCACGAGTGCCTGCGCGGCGGGGTCCCCATCTACACCGACGAGATGATCCAACAGACGCCCGTGTACAAGAGCGCCTACAACGGGAACAGGTGAGCACGGGTACAAGAGGGTCTACAACGGGAACAGGAGAGCATGGGTACAAGAGGGTCTACAACGGGAACAGGAGAGCACAGGTACAAGAGGGCCTACAACGGAAACAGGTGAGCCGGGTACAAGAGGGTCTACAACAGGAGAGCACGGGTACAAGAGGGCCAACAACGGGAACAGGAGAGCACGGGTACAAGAGGGTCTACAACGGGAACAGGAGAGCACGGGTACAAGAGGGTCTACAACGGGAACAGGTGAGCACAGGTACAAGAGGGTCTACAACGGGAACAGGTGAGCACAGGTACAAGAGCGCCTACAGCGGAAACAGGTGAGCACGGGTACGAGAGGGTCTACAACAGGTGAGCACAGGTACAAGAGCGCCTACAATGGGAACAGGTGAGCACGGGTGCAAGAGGATCTACAACGGGAACAGATGAGCACAGGTACAAGAGGGCCTACAATGGGAACAGGTGAACACAGGTACAAGAGGGTCTACAACAGGAGAGCACACGACCCCAGTGTGCACCAGGGCTCTTACTACGGCGCCATTTTTTCCGCATGGCGCCGGCGAGGGGAACAGGAGAGCACGGGTACAAGAGAGCCTATATGATATGCGCTATACAAATATATATTATTTACTTACTTACAAGAGTGCCGACGACAACGGGAATCATGTGACCAAGACCAGCCAAGAGTTTCACTAAACCAGCGGTCTCATAAAAAGGCCCAACAAAAAAGTATTCTGTAGCCCCCTATAGCAGACATCAAAGTGAGAGTCTGGGGTAATACAGCATGTTATACATCATTTTAAAGCTATTCTCTCAAGAAAACAACAACAACAACATTTATATAATATCATAATCACTGATCTGTGAACACATTAAGAAAAAACATTGCAGCTGCATTCATTTTGTTCATAGAAAAATAGACAAACCAGTATCTCACTCCTATTCTATAAAAGTATACAGGCGTTTTGAACCAGACTCATGACATGGCATAGAATATAATTTAGAGGCCATTATTTTGTTTAAAGAAGCAGAAAACGGCTCTGTCCTGACGTCACAGACAAAAGGTGAGAGAATTTTCTGCTAGACCTGTTTTTTATCATGGATCAAGTGAACGGCTTAAGGTCAATAATGAGGAAGAATTCTGTCACAATGTTGACTTTGCTGCATACTGGTTCTCTTTGGTGGAAAAGCATTTGAGCTATGTAATTTTTTCTGACTAAAATGGCTGAAAGTTTGAAATACGAAAGAACATGTTTTGTCAAAAAATGATGCTTGAAAAATGTGAAAAGATCCACAGAAAATCAGTAATAGCTCCAAAAAGTATTCCTTCACACCATGTTCCGGCTACGGCTTCTACACATTTTAACAAAATTACAGAATTGACCTGAAATATTGATAAACAAGCTTCACGTTCTTGTTGTGTACATGCAGTCATTCAGATCCAAATTTGACTGACAATGTACCACACACATCCATAACACTCTGTCCCTGTGTGTGTCCAGGCCCTCTCCGACTGAACGGCAGCTCATCCCCGTGGCCTTCGTCTCAGAGAAGTGGTTTGAGATCTCGTGCTGATGGACTCCTGTGCGCTGGCCCCACACTGGTCAGTATCCATCCACTGTATACCATCTGTTTGTTCATTTGGAATTATCTTCTACGGTCTAAATAACTAGAACTTGTTCAGAGGACCTTTGATTACATTTTTGCACATCGGCCTCATGTACGCTCTTATTTTGGGAAGTTGGAAGATAACGATAACACCCTCAGTCCTCGTTCTACAGCCCTGGATGTTGAGTTTTGCTTCTACAGCCTCAGACCTGGATCTTCAGCCTCAGTCCTGGATCTACAGCCTCAGTCCTGGATCTACAGCCTCAGTCCTGGATCTACAGCCTCAGTCCTGGATCTACAGCCTTAGTCCTGGATCTTCAGCCTCATTCCTGGATCCACAGTCTGAGACCTGGATCTACAGCCTCAGTCCGGGATCTACAGCCTCAGTCCTGGATCCACAGCCTCAGTCCTGGATCTGTCGGTATCTCTCAATGTTGGCCTTCCCGAGGTTTCTCACTTTTTTTGGTTTTCATTTTTGTTGTTTCTTGCCGATGCAGTGAGGGTCTAAGGCAGGGATGTCAAACCGGTCCTCAAAAGGCCAGTGTGGCAGCAGGATTTAGTTTAACCTGAGCAGGAGCAGAGCAGACTTTCTCAGGTGAGTCCAGTTTTAACCTGACGTTTTAGAAAATGGGTGGAGTCTGGTTTGACCCTACTCAGGTATTACACCCCTGGTCTGAGGACAGCGATTATCCGGGACATTTTCTGGACATTTTTGGACATTGGTCACCCCGCTCACATCATCACATCACGCCAATCTGCTCCGAAGTCCAGCTGTGCAGACGCGGTGCCACTGTGTGCTCGCCTCTGCCTCTTCTTGGAGCCTCCGTTCCTTCGGTCTGCAGCGTTTTGTTCTTGGAATCGTTTGTCATGCCTGGCTCATGTAGGCCAGCACTGCCTCCGTCTGCAGTGGCCCCAGACCCACTTGGGGGCCTCATACATACAGGGGCCCGGGGGGAGATGGATCGGCCGAGTTTGACCCAGATTGGAATGACAGAGCTGCAGATCGTGTCCGCTTCCGCGCCGCGTGGACGCTCACACGGAGAGAACAAATGTGAGATCTGCACCATAGGTTTTCCGTCGTACATTTGTGTTTTGTGCCTTGTGGACATTGCAAACATGAGCGGGACTTTTATGTGTGGCCTCTTACCAGGCAGTGATTCCATTGCACAGTATCTGGTACCGTATCCTAGCAACCTACACACAACAAACCAGTGCATATGGTTTTCTGTCAAATACTTAATTCATTCACACACTCTCTCTACTGCTGCTACTACTGCTACTGCTGCTACTTCTACTACTACTGCTACTTCTACTGCTACTACTGCTACTACTACTACTGCTGTTACTACTACTGCTACTACTGCTGCTGCTTCTCCTCCTACTACTACTAGTACTACTACTACTAATACTACTACTGCTGCTGCTGCTGCTACTACTACTACTACTGCTAGTACTGCTACTGCTACTACTACTGCTGCTACTACTGCTACTGCTGCTACAACTACTACTACTGCTGCTACAAATTACTACTACTGCTACTAGTACTACTGCTGCTTCTACTGCTACTACTACTGCTGCTACTACTACTACGGCTACTACTGCTACTGCTGCTACAACTACTACTACTGCTGCTACTACTGCTGCTGCTGCCAATACTGCTACTACTGCTGCTACTTCTCCTCCTCCTACCACTAGTACTACCACTAGTACTACTACTGCTAGTACTACTGCTGCTGCTGCCAATACTGCTACTACTGGTGCTGCTGTTACTTCTCCTCCTCCTACCACTAGTACTACTACTGCTAGTACTACTGCTGCTGCTGCCAATACTGCTACTACTGGTGCTGCTGTTACTTCTCCTCCTCCTACCACTAGTACTACTACTGCTAGTACTACTGCTGCTACTACTGCTGATGGTGTTAGTACTGCTGTCGCTGCTGCTGCTACTACTAATACTATTACTACTACGGCTACTACTGCTACAGCAACGACTACTACTTTCAATACAATACAATTTATTCTTGTATAGCCCTAGGTCACAACAGCAGTCGTCTCAGAGACTTAACAAAATCATTGAAATCACCAACACAGATCAGAGAATCAACAGTTTAAACTGCTCCTGGCTGTAGCTAATGTCTCTCCTCTCCCATAGGGCCCCTGCAATCACAGGTTCGCCTGCACTCTGGGGAGCTCCATGCTGTGGGCCGGACGTCCACTTTCTACCCAGAATGATGAGCCTGTTTTGGGGGGAAAGGACAGCTGTGCACCCCCTCTACTGTGGGACACTTGTGTGAATGACCGGACAGCAAACCCACCACAGACCCACAGACTTGTCTTCGTGGACCTCCAGCTGCCCAGGGCTCGGACCCTCTGAACTATGTGCCAATAATGCCAATATGTGCCACACCCAAGTCACGTCGACGGACTTCACAGAACAGAAAGCGCTATTTAACCTGTATCTACCACTTTGGTTCTTTCTTAGCAATGTGAACAAAAAAAAAAGAGATGTATTTGTTTCTGAATAGTTTTAAGAAGCGTGTTCAACTATTTATACAAAGCACTATTCTATTAACAGAGCCAGGATGAGATGAGGAGAACACGGAGAACGGTAACACTTTATTTCAGGGTACACCCAATGGCATAGAACTTACCGCTAATTTGCATATTATTAGTATTTATTCAACACTAATTAAAGTGCCACGGTCTGCTCACACACTTACCAACACTTTTCTCTAAACTACTGCTTATTACCACCATTAGCTCACTGTCCTTCTCTAATGGGCTTCTCAATTCTGTTAAATAACTACATTGTCAATGAGTTGTTGTTGTTGCCTTTACCCGACGACATTGAAAGCAACTTTACAAATGAGGTTCCCAATAAACACGTCTTTTTCTCAAAACTTCCGCTAATTAGGAATTTCTATTATGCCACAGACTAAAGAAATGTCTACTCTAATTGGTTTTCATGTAATATTATGTGAGCTAGCCGTGAATTATGCTGAAAAGCAGAAATGCAATTAGAAAATGGTTGGTAAATGTGTGACGATGACCCAGATATGCGTGTGTAGAACTCAACATGGGTCAAACACTGAGGGCCGTGTGCGCACAACAGCTGCTCGTAACGTGGGGATATTTCTCTAAAGTAAAGTGTTACTATGACGGTATATGCTTTATCGAGTAGTTGATTCTCAGATGATTTCTAACGGTCCCATTTTAGGACAGAGTAATGAGTCTATTTTTTTATGCAAAGTTTGCCGCAGCGTGACAGGAGTACGCACTGTTGCTGACGTGAACGTGGAGAGCCAGGGCTGGGCCAGGACACGGCACGAGCCACATCCCCGGCCCCCAGAGAGAGAGAGAGAGAGAGGAGATCTGGCCCCAGAGAGAGAGAGAGGAGATCTGGCCCCAGAGAGAGAGAGAGAGAGGAGATCTGGCCCCAGAGAGAGAGAGGAGATCTGGCCTCAGAGAGAGAGAGGAGATCTGGCCCCAGAGAGAGAGAGAGAGGAGATCTGGCCCCAGAGAGAGAGAGAGAGGAGATCTGGCCCCAGAGAGAGAGAGGAGATCTGGCCCCAGAGAGAGAGAGGAGATCTGGCCTCAGAGAGAGAGAGAGAGGAGATCTGTCCCCAGAGAGAGAGAGAGAGGAGATCAGGCCTCAGAGAGAGAGAGAGAGGAGATCTGTCCCCAGAGAGAGAGAGAGGAGATCTGTCCCCAGAGAGAGAGAGAGGAGATCTGGCCCCAGAGAGAGAGAGAGAGGAGATCTGGCCCCAGAGAGAGAGAGGAGATCTGGCCTCAGAGAGAGAGAGAGAGGAGATCTGTCCCCAGAGAGAGAGATAGAGGAGATCTGGCCTCAGAGAGAGAGAGAGAGGAGATCTGTCCCCAGAGAGAGAGAGAGAGGAGATCTGTCCCCAGAGAGAGAGAGAGAGGAGATCTGTCCCCAGAGAGAGAGAGAGAGGAGATCTGTCCCCAGAGAGAGAGAGAGGAGATCTGGCCTCAGAGAGAGAGAAAGAGAGAGAGATAGAGAGAGGAGCTTAGGGCCCAGAGAGAGAAAGGAGATCTGGCCTCAGAGAGAGAGGAGATCAGGCCCCAGAGATAGAGAGAGGAGATCTGGCCCCAGAGAGAGAGAGAGGAGATCTGGCCCCAGAGAGAGAGAGAGGAGATCTGGCCCCAGAGAGAGAGGAGATCAGGCCTCAGAGAGAGAGAGAGAGAGAGAGAGAGAGAGAGAGAGAGGAGATCTGGCCCTAGAGAGAGAGAAAGAGAGAGAGATAGAGAGAGGAGCTCAGGGCCCAGAGAGAGAGAGAGAGAGAGAGGAGATCTGGCCTCAGAGAGAGAGGAGATCAGGCCCCAGAGAGAGAGAAAGAGAGAGAGATAGAGAGAGGGGCTTAGGGCCCAGAGAGAGAGAGAGAGAAAGAAAGGGAGAGATAGAGAGAGAAGCTTAGGGGCCAGAGAGAGGAGCCATATATGCACTGAAATACATATAGAACATTTAGTTAATCCCAGTAACTGATAAAGATTGCCGGTTATTAATTGTCATAAAACAATCTTATTTCAGAAAGTTATCTTACAAGTAAACAGCAACGCAGTTTTGATTCACCAAACGCACTGTTGAGAAAAGTCCAGTGGAAGTGTGTTTTTGGGATGTCACTTTTGCCGGTCAGGTGCCAGTCCTGGACGTCTTTCGCCACTAAGCTGCCGCGCCTGCCTTCGCCATGGCAACCGGCTGCCATTCCCGCTAATACATAGACTATTATGGGGTGTACCGCGCTGCACTGGCCCGACAAAATGTGACCAAGTTCCAAACGAAAGATGTGTGAGGGTCTTTGGAGGATTTGAAATGACTGCGAATAACAAACTCTGGAACAGTGTGAGACCGCGAATGACAAATACCAGGACTCCCAGAGCAGTCTTTCTTACGGCTCCCCTTCAAGTTTATGGATTGCTGAATTTATTTTTTTATTAATATCAAGCAATTTATGTTTTTTTTTTTACCTTCAATAAGTGGTCATAACTGGTGATTATAACTAACTAATAAAACAATTTGTTGAAAGACTTCAACAATGCAAACTACTGTCAAGTCAAGAGTTTGCATAGTGTGTTGCTATGGTAACTGCTGCTTACTTCCGGTTCCACACTGAGATTGCTCTGAACCAGTCCAGAACCAGTTCAGGACTATTTGCTTTAACTGCCATAAAATATTGGTCTCCAAGCGATCAAAAATGGCTATAATTGGATTTTGACATGCAAATGAAAAATGACTGCTCTGGGAGTTAAAGATAGAACCACTGACATTTCAAAAGTCAGAGATTGTGTTGGAAAAAATAATTACAAAGAAAGAAACTACATATGAAAAGAAAGAAGAAAAAGTCACAATGTTACGAAGACCACAAGTGTTCTTTCGGAGTAATTACACTTCTAAAATGAAAAGCCGGCAAATTCAGTGCTCTGGGAGTTCTGATGTTAATGGTGTCGTTACAAATCCCAGTTTGTATTCTTCCGCTAGAGCCAAGAACAATCTACAGACGTGTCCTCTCAACAGACAAACAGTAAGAAACAGTAAGACACAGTCATTTCTCCGACTGGGATCATTAAAGTATCTATATCTATGTCTTCATCTTGACTCAAGTCTACTAAACTGAGTTGAATACCCCTGTACTGTTACTCTACTGCCCTAAGATTACTACAGACACTGTGTGATGGAAAAATAGTTTGGTTCGTTTTTTTTTACCAGTAAAAAACCCCAAACCTTTTCAGACGTTCATGCAGTTGACGTGAGGCCAGTCCAGTCATTTCAAATCTCTCAGAAACCCTTGTGCACATCACGTGGCATGGATCCACCAAAAGGCCAGTGGGCGTCCAGTCCCACAACCAAAAATACACTTTTCTTTGAGCATATCAGGAGTTTGGCCAGTGATGCGTTTGTGACGGAAGTTTATTTGTGAAGCAGCCACTCTGCCAACACGTGTACAAAATGACTTCATTCACAATATCAATCTGGACTCTGGGCAGGTGTTTGAAATCGTAGCCAGGGTGACTGCAAAGACGTACGGACTGGGTTCAAGCTGCTTTCTCAACATGACATTTTATTGTT